AGAAATCTACACTGAATTCACATGAATCTGACTACCTTTTAGTAGTATAGCCAGTCCTCGTCTTGCTGCGTGGCCTTGGCCCTAGTAGACCTCCTGGTAGGTCACTGCGGATAGCCGCACCGCCAGGGATATCCTCCTCAGACGAGTAATACAGCTCTAGGCCTAGGCCTGCTATATTAAACGATGAATTAAACGATGAATTGAACGATGAATTGAACGATGAATTTGATAGATTTCGTGAAGAGAGACGTGTGTAGAGAAGAGAAAGGTGTAGAGAGGGAGATTGTAGAGAGGGAAGGCCCTTGTGCGGTGGGAGATGGGGCTTAATGAAGTAGGCGGTGAGTAAGTTTTGGTGGGCGGTTAATGGCCTACGAAGGTTGTCAGGAAAGCGGTCAGGAAGGTGGAGGGATTTGAGAAAATTAATGCCTAAGGTATGAATTTTTGCCTTGCGCTAAACTCAAATAGGAAGTTATGCCCGAAAATTCAGGCATGGGGGTGTATCTCTAGCCAAAGGGGTGTAGCTCTAGCACTACCCTATATATATATATACGCGCGCTAATATAATCGGATACATAAACCTGTATCCCTATACACCGCTTTATGATATACGATACTGATTATCAACTACTGCATCAAATAGAAAAAACAACGAGTTTCCTAACACTCTCGTATACCCCTATATTATTTCAGACTTTCATAGCTCTTTTTCTGTGATATTCTGCTATATACCTAAAGTTATAAATACTACCTGTTTTCCTAGCAAAATAAAACAAGTTTAACACCATTTTCACTCACGAATAGAGCTCAAGGCAATTCTGATTAAACTGTGTTAACCTTCCACTGTTCAACCTATTCGCTACCAACCTACCTCTATTGCACTTTCGTCTCTCTTCCATAATCGTGGTATTCGATCGACCTATATACGCCTACAAGTATAGCCTAGGGTTTATACACACAGCGTAAATCCGACAATACCTTAATATATACCTTATTCCTAGTTAACTAATACTCCTTACAGTAAGCCTACTCCGAAACGTTAAAGCAGTACGCTAGTTCCTTTATAAATTCGGCGACCTTTCGACAGACCTCCGAGGGATATAGCTACTCTATAAATTATTCCGAATTAGTTAGGTTAACTATCTAGAATACCTACTAAGCCTACGTAAATATAAGATTTAGGTCCTAGTAATCTTCTAGTATTATAGTCGCGGCTTATAGAGTTATTAGCTTTATCTTTAAAGAACTTAGTGAAACCCATAAGAATATATATTAAAGTGCAGCCGGAACACTACTTACACAAAACTAAAGCCTTAGTATCGCGAATATACTTAATAGCGAAAGGTAAGCCTAGAGTTACGTCCTACTTAGCGATCGTTGTACGCAAATAGTATATACACTAGAGAATTATTATAAAAATAGGATTACCTAGAAGAGGATAAGTAGTAGTACAGGTTCTAGGAGGTATTGTAAGGTTTTCGAGAGCGAATAGATAGTGAAACGATAGCGAAAGGGTACGTCTTAATAAGGTATATAGAAAAGGGGATAGAAGAGGATAAGGGAGTAAGAGGAAAAGGAGAGGTTAATATTAGCGATATCAACAAAGGAACACGTTTCCTTTGTTTGCCCCTCTCCTAGGCAACCCTCTAATATTAACCTTCCCCTTTTAGCCTATACGCTCCTTCCTTATCCAACTGCTATTCTTTAAATTGTTTACGCGTCTGTTTACCTCGCTTAAGGGCAAGCGATTCTTGGAGGGAGGATAATTGTTATAATACACCCTGATATAAGGTTATTCCTAAGTGTTAGTGCCTTAGGCTTCCCGGGCCTAATAAGCCGGCAGACTTTCTGTAGAGGTTTGCTAGGGCTTCGTTATTAGTACGTATATGAACTCCTGCAGGGAACACCCTTGACAGAGGTTACACAAGACCCCGCTCCTATCCTTCTATTAAGGATATATCTCCTTCCTGTTTGAGCGATGAGACTGTATATAAATTGACCTATATTGAAGAGGTTTTACGATCCTTAAGAAACAGTCTTTGACTATCTCACACTATTGACTTGGCCCTATTTCTCCTACCTGATTGACAGGCCTCTATCCTGACTTATAGAGTATATCCTTACATGCACTTTCGTCTCTCTTCTATAATCGTGGTATTCGATCGACCTGTGTGCGCCTATAAGCACACCTCAGGGTTTATGCACACGGCGTAAATCCGACAATTAATACTTTAGTATTATAGCACTAGATATGGTTTTGCTTAGTAGTGATCTAAGTTGTGCTTATTACCTTAGTACCTTTGTCTCGGAAGATATCTTTGATCTGTTCCTTTGAAATATATACTACAAATATATTTCTGCTAGCTAATTTAGTCGAATTAGTTAATTCGTTTACTAATTCTCTAGTTAATAATTTGTCTGATTCTTCTGATTCGTCTGTTTTCAATGCTTTTTGATTGTATAATTATAGGCTGTTTTTAATCTCGGTAATAATTTATATTATTCTTTAAAAGCTTACTAGGCCTTCTTATTAATTATTTAGTCTAACTAGTAGATTGATATAGCTATATTAATCGAAATCGTGATCGCTGTTACTTACTAGACCCCTATATAAGTAGGTACCCTTTCGGCCTAGTTTCGATAGCTTTTCGTCGGATTCGTTATTAGGGTCTCGGCCCTAATAGGTCTAGTATACTATTCACCTATAGCTAGGTAATATAATTAATTAATATTAATTAATAAAGAGATTAACTAGTTTAGTAAGTATAGGGTACTATAAGCCTTAAAGGGTTATATTATACTAGAATATATAGAAGCCTTAGTCGCTTAGTTAAATAGCTTCTAGGAAGTTAGAGATTAAAACAGGCGAAACAAAACAAACAGACCAAACAGTAAAGATCAGATAAAATAAGCAAACAAATAAACATGCAACTATACCAACCTCCACGGCATAGAATCAGAACAGCTGCCACCAATCTATCCCCGCCAAAACTTCTCTCACATATCTGTCAGCAGTTCTCCCACTACAATACTTATTATTTAGCCCTTTCTTCTTATTTACTACTTTAGAGGTAAGCTAAACTTAATACGATATAGCTTTTTCTACTCTATGCTGGACAATACTGATAATATTACTAATTTTATTATAGCTTTAAGTGATAAGGATATATTGCATAATAAGTAGAAGTCTTATACGCTAGGCACGGCTAGTCGTAGCCTTAGACTCTACTATAGGTAACGATAGTACATAAGATAATATTAGGAAGAAACCAAGGCTCACGTATAGAGTAACAAATAACAAAGACCTCTTAGTAATAGGAAATACCAACATATACTATATCCACCTTCTTCGAACAGGGTAATGCTATTTACTATATTTATACATTCTATATTGGCTCACAGTCTCGAAAATTTAGATACAGATCTAGATAATAGGCTAGCTATGTGATCTCTGACGGATTTTTGCTAACTCATTCACCGACCAGTGCTGGAGGTTCTTTTTGACTATCTTTTCGAGTGCCCCCGAATTTATTGAAACCACGAAGCCATTACTGCCAACCTGAACGGTAACGGTAACTGGCTCGGTATAGAAAAAGTCCGAGATTGGGCGAGTTCGAGTGCCTCGGCTAAGACTGCTTACATATAGAACGACAGATGTGGAGGCTTTAGCGAACTCCACGAGCCGTTGCGGCTCATACTTCGCAAATTCTTTGCTGTGTTGTTCCAAAATATGCTGTAGACTAGTGCCACGAGGGCCTGTGTTGCCTGTCACTGTCATAGAGTGAGCTAGACAAAAGACATGAAATGAGAAAATCATTTTGGACACTCACACCCAAAGAGTCTAGGAAGTAGGGCCCTCTGGTTGGCACGTCTATCTGCAAGCTGCCACACGTTGCAAGTCCGCTTTAATGTCTTTCTCCAAAAGGGTTCGAAGAGGCGTCTTCCATTCATTTGTAATAGGTATCTCGGGGATGCCTGATTACTGAGATGAATTTCTTGATAGCATTTTGCTCTCCTAAAGATCTCTCTGTGGATATAAGGCTAAATGGGCAAGTGAATTTAATACCAGGATGAGGACTTCTTGTAGGTCGGCAAGTATTGAGTTATTCTACCGAGCTTTACCTGTTTCTGAATGATGTATTAGAGACTTTTGTATAGCCATTCTAGATGGCAAGATCATTCTCCAAGGAAAATGCACTATGGACTCGGAGTCGGAAGGATGGCCAATGTGCAACGCTGTAGAATTGGTTGGAACAATTGACGCCAGCAGATTCTCTGCGAGGCAAGAGGCGGGAATGATTTACCGCTCACAGCTTGCTTTCCAAATACAGTACGCATACTTCAGAGGTCTTGTTTCCCCTGCCGCGTGCGGTCAGCAATAGCATCGAGGAGCTTCGTCCGGGACCCCCTCGTTTCAGAAACATATTAGACCGGAGTTATGGGGGCGGAGACTCATCAGATCCGAAGGTAGCTGCATACATATGGTCTATAGAGAGGGGTTCAGAAACACCTACAAGCACAACATAGGCGCCCACTATTCGACTAGAGCTTTTCGACAGGGTGTGCGAGGGGCGCGCGTACCCCGCCCCGCTCGAGTGAGACTTACTTGAGGCGCCCTCGGAAGAGGCCATAGGAGTAGTGTAGGGGGCAATCCAAACTTCAGTGAAATAGTAAGAGGCCCGCGAAGGTGTCATCATAACTCGACCAGTCTTCTTCGATTTCCTTTTCTAGTATCAGGTTCCATCTCGCGATACGTTTGTGCTGTGCTCTGCAACCATGACTTCTGGCCTTCTCAAACCTCTGGCGGTATTTTGCAGTCAGTCGCAATCTCAACGATACATCGAATCTATCAGGAACCCGGGCGATACATGGCGTAGCCTTGTCGAATGGCCTCTCCCTGAGTCTGGCAAACATTCTGCTTTGGTGGAAACAAACCTTGACTTTGTGATAAAATCACGAATGCACTGGAAGAGCAACGCGGGTCAAACCCAACAATTGTCAAAATGTTGACTTACGAGCCTCTCACGGCTACCACGTCTCTATCGACTATGTCATCGACTTCAACAGAACCTCCCCGGCACCATCGTATCTTTGCTGATTACGGCAGGGATTTTATTTGGCGAGACCCCGATGACCTTATGCCTGAGGAGGGGGACTGTATGTTAGAGGCAGAAGAAGTACTCTCGGCATTCCCTCTGTCGGTCTTGGAGTTAAATGATGTGTGGGTGGATACATACACCAATAATTTCCGGGAAAGACGCGATAAGAGCCAAAACTACCATACGACTATTTTTCCAACCGCCTCCGAGGAGGTAGCTTGGAACGTGGCTGGGTCTTGGTTGACTTGGCGCATTACAATGGCACCTCAGGTTGGGAGGATCGAATTCAGCGCTGGTTGTTCAAAGTACCTTCTTGAGAAAGGAAAGGAGACGAGTGTCACTTTGACATTTCTGCAGGACCAGCTTGATATTCTAGCCAAAGGAAAGCCTGTAGTATAGCAAGGCTTCAATGCTTCACTTATCTACTCGATGTGTCGCTTATGCCTTCAATATAGAGATGATCGCCATGTGTATCTCTGATATGAAACAGTCACATTGCCACTCCAAATTTTTGGTGTTTGTTCTTCGTTTATCAGCTAGCGGAATTTGGTAGCTGCGCCGGGGTATCGCTACAGACCTTTCTTATGATCAGGTTGCTGTACGAAGGTGACCACGCCACACAGGTGAAACATTCTGAGCCTCGGAGCCCAAGGATGACTTTAAGGATAGAAGTGCGGGTAGCCTCGTTCTGTCCAGACAATTGCTTGTCTGAGCAGTACTCAAAGAGAGATTGATGGGATGGGTACGTGGACACCCAGAGGTTTGAAATGGAAATTGTAGTTTCCCCATTATCAGTCTTCTCGATGTCAGTTAGGTCGTCACATAGGGTAGAACTCATACCCGGAAGAACATGCACGGCAAAGTCACCATACTCGTCCTAGGTGATACCAAAAATCGATGAATTGGCTGATTTGGAGATGTGCAAGAGATTTAGGCCAAGGATATCAGCTTTATGAGTATTAGCATATTCGTAGACAGTTGCAACTAGGTAAAAAGTGAGATAAGGATTTCTATACTCGTACTCGGCCACGGTTCTCTTTGCCTTGATAATAGGTAATGCTAGCAAATAGCCATGCGTTGCGATCTTGAAAGGAGTATGGTAGGTTTATTCACTATCATTTAATGCTTAGCAATACTGAAAAGTAAAACAGCGTCTGATCATGCTCAAGTGAAACCACGTCCGCAAGCTTACAACTATAAAGAGTTATTTTGGAACGGCAAAATTAGGATCATTGAAAATAAAAAAGAGAAATATATGTACAATAGCCATGAATCGCATGTGGTTACCCACTAGACTACGGAGAGATCCACTGATTCTAATAACAAGCACGGTGCCGGATCCATTTGAAGCGGACATGGGAGTTATTCCACTGTAGCTCTGGATATATACCTGCTGGCAACAGCTGATATGATTGTTTTAGGCCAATTACTCCCCCTTCTATATTTAACATCAATAGGGGCGAACCAGTCTTATCGGAGCATGATCCAGTGGTATGATTCTCGCTATCCCATTACGGGCTATTCTCATATATATAACATAGAAGGTAATAAAGTTCGTTGAGCCCGAACTAGATGGTCTAGTGGTATGACTATTTTAGAATCGGGCCTGTTCCAATATATAACATAAAATAGCGATCTATCATATAAGCGCCCGGATGGTCTAGTGGTATGATTCTCGCTTTGGGCTTGTAAACTCAACTGCGAGAGGCCCCGCGTTCGAATCGCGGTTCGGGCCACTTTTTTTGCAGTTTTATGTACGGATACCAAAACAAAGTCTTACTTACATATTTGTGCCCCTTTTCAAGTGATCGGGCCTTTTTAATATTGGTTTAATATACCGATACCCTAGATCTCCGATATGTATATATTTAATGCGCATTTTGTATGCTATTTGCTTGAGATTGACTGCGACCCGACCGAGTTTCAATCACGGTTCGGACTCTTCCTTACCGATCTTCTTTTACCCCGAATATCTTCTCGAGATAAATTTAGAGCTTTTGTGTGCCCGTCGGTATGCAATGGAAACAGGGGTCGAAATTTGCTACTCTATCAATGCCGTTAAAGAATGGTCAAGAAGTTTCATATACCCGAGACTGATTACGTAGATTGGGTTTGTTTGTAATTTGAATTTAAATACTCGACCAACGGTCACCGAAACGTTTCATCATTGTGGTTCCACACCCTCAGCGCTTTATCTATCGTAAGATGGAGAGAATGCCCGAGGCTGGCGTCGTCTATTCGGTATAACACAAAACCAAGCGTTAGTGTCGCCGCTCGTTGAGGTGGTATTGAAATCAAACCAAACCCCCAAAGGAAGAGAGATAGCCAGTCCAAGAGGGGGTTCACATTACTGGCTAAAAGTAAATAATGAGATAGCCGATCTACGAGAAGTCGCAGAAGATACGAAACTGGTATAAGTAGCTCCTTCTATATTTCGTACCGAATCTAACCCTGGATAGAGGAGAAAACAACTTCATAGAGTAGTGGAGTACTAGAATGAGCTAGAGGAGTTGTTATCTATATTCCTACCAAATACGGGTTTTCATATCCGCTACGGCAATGCCTCGAATGCAAAATATACTGGTTGCCACCTGGAAGATGTTTTCATACAACTCTAAGAGTCGGATTGCTGGGATTGGGAAGACCTTCCTGATCCTTGAGTTAGGTTTATATAAGCACAAGATGGCATAAAGTTCAATACAAGAAAAGTATCCTATTGATATGATCTTGAGCTTACGTTCTATCTCCTCCAATGAACGAAAAGGCAGACCTGAAACACCAGACATTTTCACCCTCGTATTTCTGGCACTGGATGCCTACAGCTGAGTGATAAGCCGCTCAAGTCTGCCTGGGGTTGATGAACTGCTATCCTCCGCAAGCCTCCCTACGTTGACGTCACCCGGAAATACTCAGCATGCGAGAGGGAATATCTAGATGATGCTTTTTCCACCAGTGTAAATTTAATCCCGAATACTATGTCCTTTGGTACCATTTTCGGCAGAAGACTGGATGGCGGAACGAAAGCATGCTCGCTTGTACCTCTTAATAGCTAGATCAAATATCTACAGTCTACTCAAAAGCATCCAATGAAAAAGTCTCTCGACCGGTTTCAAGATTGGTTTCTTCTCCGCCCAGAAGAATTTGGAGATATTACCATTGAACTTAAAGTCAAATGCCAGACGAACGACAGCCAAAAGGTGAAAGCTGTTAAAGGGTGGTAGACTGGCCATGTACCACCCAGACATATGATAGATTTTCATAGATACACAAAAGTTCAACGAAAATCCAAGTGGTAGCCAACTATACCAGTATCCCTGGCATAAGTCTGAGTAAACTGTGGAAAAGTGGATTTGACGTGAAGCCTGGGAGGCTAGGAATATGATGTTCGTGGCCCGCATACCAAAATCCGGTTTCCGCAGGTTTTCATACTTGCGTTGAAGATAGCGACGAGAATGTGGCTGATGAGACTAGTATTTGCTTCACCGTTATGATTTACATAGACAGCTTGTTAGTCAAAGCTCTGGTCTAAGCTATGTGGTGCCCACCGGGATGATATCCAACAGCAATTACGCCATTTCCTACAACGCTCTTGTAAACCGCGAGAGAACACCCAGGCCCAGCTGGCAGTATGTGCCAAGGTGCCTTCTTCACAGAGTATGGTGCTGCTCCTTTAACCCCAAGGAGAAGTGGAGGTGTGTAATAGCGAGAGACTTGCCGTTTGCCGTGAGGTTAGTGTTGCAGACCTATCGCAACCAGGTATTCGTGGAATTTCAGGCGCCTAATCATGTGTTGCATGTATCTGCATTCACGCATATTATCCTCGATTGTCATGGGAAGGCCTGGCTGATTGACTGGGCCTTTGCAAGAATGTATCCGGCATCATTTGAAACAGCAACCATATCAAGGCATGGTGGGGGCGAGTACTTCAAAGGTCTACTGGACCTACTAGGGGACGAAAACTCTAGCGAACTGATTAGTCGCCTGTTCGCAATATCTTTTGCACTGACTTCGGGAGCGGCTGTACAAACCTTCCTTGAAATCCAACAGTGTCTCGGCCACTATCTAGCAAAAACGAATCCAGGGTTGATGCGGTCTGCTATTTTTGTGAGTCGAAGTACCGATCTGAACGTCATCGACTAAAACAGGGAATATTTCTCTGTGCGAAGTTATCAAGGGTATAGTGCTTAGAGGATGAATGAACATGGGAACTTCGAGTCAATCTCTAAGCGTCTTGAACCAGCACAGGATTCAGCACGAGATGGGATTATTTAAATCTTGCTTAATGCTAAACCCTTCGAAGAGCTTATCAAGAAAGCTAGAAAGATACTAAAGCAGGTTTTGGATGGTGTCATAGAAAGGCGTGGATGTCAACAAGCAGCCTTGCATGCGGGTTAAGGGAGAGGCCGGAGAAGAGGTATTTAGTAGCTAGATTCATATTCACACTATCATACTTTAGCCACTGAATGAAGACGAGATTTGAAGCTAATTGCCCCTGGACATGCTTGACTCTGTTGGTAGGCTCTGACAGAGCCATAGAGCCCCAGGGATTGCCCTCTTCTCCTGGAGTATGCACCACTATTTCCAAGAGTTCTTACCAAATACCATACTATCCAGTGCACCATAAGGTAAATTACGCCGGTTTGTAGAATCGATACTCAAGCCCGGTTGGTGGGTAGCTGAATTGATTGATAAGACGATCGGAACGCTGATCAGTGACGGAATCCCAGCCCAGCCCGGAAGTTTATCTCGCCTGTACCGACAGCGGATGGCACAGTAGTTAGAACCAGAGAATCCAGAAACTAGACACGACGAAAAGTCGAAGAGAATGCAACTGCCTAGAACGCGCGGACAGCCAAGTCGAGATATCAATAATTGAGACCACAGGACCTACAGGACAGAGCTCGGTCGGCAGTTGTGAATTCTTGCGTCACCTGGCTAAGGCCTGAGGGGAGATCCAAGGCGATTGTGCCCGTGACCAGAGCGCGCTTAGGTCAGCATGGGATCGGGTTCCAGGAAACGAACAATTCCATCATGAACGAGTTTTGATGGCCTGGGACGGTCCGATCTTGGAATTTATCTTGTCCCTCGTCATGAATCTCTTAGATCTGTGATGTGGTGCTATGATCACTAAAATGGTCGATACAATTAATGACCCCATCACAAACAAGGACAAGAACAATCATGGAGGATCGACGAGATCACGCTACCCGGGCGGATCATTAGGCACATCCACTGGGGAGAGTGGGGCCTCTTAGTGGAGTTGTAACCGAACCCCCTCCCTCATAGTTGTGATTCGTCGGGATTCCAGGTCGATTTGAGTCCTGTTTGGTGATTGCTCGCATGGGATGTTGTCATGCGCCCCTGATAGGATCCAATGAGCGCCACCAGCTTGCCGTGGCTGGGGCCCTTTTGGCCGATCCGTGTCATCTTTGTCACCTGAGGGCTGAAAGAGGCTCGAGGGCGGGTTTGGAGGGTTGGAGGGTTGGTGGGAGGGGTGAAAAAAAAGAGCAGATAAGAGGCATGGAGGGGGGTCAATTCATCTTGATGGAGGGGTTGGCGGACAGATGGCGAAGCAATTGAGGGTTAGAAGTGGAATGGAAGAAGAAGAGTAATCAGGTACAAGTCTGGCAACCTTCGTGTGGGAAAAGCAAGAAGAAGAAGAGGGGCGAGGGTTGGTTGGAATATTGGGTGATCACGAGCCTGGCGTTTATAGCACACAGTATGGTGGTGGGTGGACAGTATACTTTGTACAGTCAGGGTATCAGTTGTTGCTAGACAACCTACAAATTGGAAAAGAAAATAGTATCTATAACTGCGCGCTATACACTTCATTCTAAAAGTATAGAAGTATACGATTGCACATGATAAACATGATATCGACTGATCGCTGCTGCAAACCTAATTGACGCTTATCGAGGGGCCATAGTTCCTCAATGCATACGGCGTACGGTACTCCGAGAAATACCAACGAAATACGAATGATACAAAGGGAATACCGTCAGCAACAGGACTAACTAACAGCCGCAGAAACCCAGCAGGTGACTGACTCCCACGTCCCCGCAGTTGGTCACCCTTCACAGCCCCCCTCCCCCCTTCAACCAAAGGAGTTTCATGATTGCCCTGTGAGCTGATTGGCGAATTGAGTTGGTCTCGTGCCATTGACACTCCTGATTGGTTGGCCGCTCGTTGGTCGACTGACCCCGATTGACTCACTGACCTCCGCCATTGAGTCATACCGACGCTTTCCGAGGGCCATATACTACTCTTCGTGGAGAAGGCAGTAGTTGTCGTTCTGATTTACTCCGTATTGTATATAGAGCGGACTATTCTAGCCGACGATGGCGCTTTCAATTCATGACGCTGCACTTCCTGAATAGGGAATATAGGTTGGGTTCTTAATCCAGACAAGTAGTTCTAGTACAAGTTCTCGATAGTGAACCACGAATCACCTCAGCATTCCGGTTTCTGTCCGATTGCGAATTCGGGGCATTGAATTGAACCGAATCCTGCTTCTGCCTCTGATACCTCCGAGTTGAATAATCCCCCAAGGGGAAAAGCATGGTGATTGGCTAATCAAGACTGAACCAGTCTCTCTTGTCTGCCTAACCAGGTTGCCGTCGGGCGAATGGTCCATGGGCTCAGGGCTGAAATCATGATGGATTATTGCGCCTCTTCGTTATTTAACCCGGTATGCTGATTTACAGGTAATTTACCACCTGGATGGTAATATTACCTCATCGTACCCCTCTCATCTGACCCCTTTCCACTATCATTTGATTGATATCTTACCATACCATCTTACCATCTTTACCATCTTACACACCACCCGCCTGCCTTTATCAACTGTTGCCTTCTCTCCCCAGTTCCCTTTCCTACTTCTTCTTTCCCAGTTTCCCTTCAACTTAAGTAGCCTTTCCTTCCCACCAGACTCGCCTCGGCCCTTTCCCTTTCGCCCCCTTCTGCTCTCTTCCCCCTTTACCCTTCTGCCTGGCCCTTCTGGACTCGCGTTGACTCATTATCGGCCATTGACCCTTTAACCCCGGTTATCGCCACTGCTGCCTGACAAATCACCTGGGTGTTGGACATGCACTTCCATTGACTTCCACCCTCGTCATATTTCGGGTACATCAAAGAGACGAAAGGCATTATTATTTCAACCTGACTGCCTCGCCTTCTCTCTTATCTCTTCTCACACTCTTCGCCTCTCCCTTTCCCTGAAACCCCCTTCCTTCCAATTCACCCAGTCTCGCCACTTCCCCGTGGGCAAATTTCAATTCATATTGGATCCTCCGTCCTTTCTGGACAATCGCAACACAAACATCCCCTCCCCCTCAGAAATCCCAAGATCGAAACAAAGAAGCAATTTAATCGTTCCGTTCTTCTCTCCAAACCGTTCTCCTCTTCCAGCAGATTTCCAATCTGGGATGTTCTCATCCACTGGTGTAAACCCGCCAATGCAGTCGCAACTACCACAGCAGACGGGCCAGCGCCCTTCTTATTCCTCCTCCATCATGAATCGCCTCCCCGTGTCAAGCCTCATGTCACCTCCCGAGGCGAAGCCTCTGGACAGCTTCCACCCCTCCTCCCCCTTTGCTAAACCGGACACCTCCATGGGGGAATTGATGAAGCTACCCCCCATCTCAGCTGATCGCAAGCGAACACAGTCCGAGATGGATCTGCCCTCGCCACCAGTGACTCCTTACACCGGCGCCAAGAAGCGACGATCCGAGACGGCCGAGCAGATTGAGCGCGATGTCGAGGTGAATGCATCGCGAGACCCCCTCCTCTTCCCTCGCCACGACTCCGTGGGCCGCGAGGAGCCTCTCTTTGGGCCTATCCCCCTCCAGCCGCGGAGGCCCTGGTAGAGCAACATATCAATTCCCACATGGCCATGTTTGAGAACAAGCGGAACAAACCCACTCGTGATGAATATCGCTTGGCGCTGTCGTGTGTGCCCATTGTCTCGACACTGTACAATCGCAACCCGGCAGCCTGGGCCCGCGAGGAACTTCAAACACTGGAGCGTCAGATGGTCCTGATGAATCGTTACCGTCCACCGGGCGAGCTGGAGGCCAAGTTGAAGAAGATCGCCCCAGCCCCCATGAAGAAGGTAGCAGGAGGGACTCCACGTGTCCCCCGAACTCGCGTCAAGCGTACCCCCAAGTCTACCCCCAAGCATCAGGCCCTGGATTCCTTTGAAGCTTCTCCTCCCTCGGCATCTAAGCCTCGTGCCCTGGGCACGAACCGAGATGACACTGATTTCCAAGCCCTGCCGGACTATTCGCCACCCCTCGAGACATTGGGTGGCAACGCAAAGGCCCTCAAGGCAGACTGGAAGGGGCAAATGTTGGATTTGAGCAATGACCCGGACCGACATCTGCTCAGTCCTGCCGAGCTCAATCTGGCCTCGACGCTTCGGCTGTCTTGTGCGACCTACCTATGCAGCAAGCGTCGAATCTTTGAGGCTCGAGTGCGTGCCCTCGGCGTAGGCAAGGAGTTCCGCAAGACCGACGCTCAACAGGCCTGTAAGATTGACGTCAACAAAGCTAGCAAGCTCTGGACCGCCTACGACCGAGTAGGGTGGTTCAAACCCGAGTATTTTCATCACCTGAGATGATTTGCTCACTCCTACTTGCTCGTTGGAACGAACCATCTACCCACCCGCTGACCATGGATCGTGGCCTCCTCCATTTGGCTTACCATCACCTTCCAATCCGCAGATACCGAACACCATTTCTCTCTATCTTTCCCTTGAGACTTTCTCGTACGAGAAAGCGGGGGAAACTGACATGTACAAGCGCGATCAACCTTTTGTCTGAATTTTGTGGTTCTCGAACCACCAGAAACATGACTATATCCTCGGGTAACTGACCGTCTCTGCCTTGTCGGGTTGAGTCTTATGAACATTAATCCTCGAAAGACTCTCTGTCTTGCTCTCCGCTCCGAAACAACCCTCCTCCTCTCTGGTACTCTTTACCATCATCCTCTTACTCCCGTTTGGTTTTTCTTATGACGTCTATTCCCCTCTTGCTTTTTTATGTCCGTTATGCATGACGACACCTTCATTCCACAGATACCCTCTCAGTACAGGGTTTCGCTTGGACTCTCTTTTTTTGTCTCTTCGCATTGTGAGTCACTTTCGGTAATCATGCATCGCTTTTCATGCATGTTTGGCTTGACTACTCGGCTCTTGTTTCTTTGGCGTTCCGGTTCTTTGTTCCCCATCTAGAATGGCAGGCTTCGGTCAACTTGCGATGTTTTACCTGGGAGTTCTTATTTTTGCTGTTTTGTGACTTCGCTGCTCTTGTTGCTCTTGTGTTCCTGTTCCCATTCCGTTGAACGGCTCCTTTGAGAGAACATACGGCACGATATGATACCCTGACCAGATACGAATCTTTCAAATGACATACCCATTGCAAATGAGTTTCATATTTCAAGATTTACAGCTCTTGGAGATGTAGTTGGATGTATACGTACAAATGTGCACAAAGATTCGCTCCCAAGGACGTAGCCAATTATCTCTGATCTGATCAAGCTTAATTAATCTGGCTATCTCTTTTAAAAAAAGGTTACCTAGACCCCATTGCTATAAATATCATTTATTTTTCCAGGCCCCTGCAGTTCCTTCTCATCAAGTTGTGAGTGGTTCGCCGGGGCGTGTGGGGCTCCCATGTCCCGATTGTCCTTATTCATAATTCCACCTCCAATCCAGTGATCTGGCTCCGCCCCGGCGCCACCTTTTTCTGACATCTCACTCAACTCGTGTCCCTCCATCAACTCCATCGCTTCATCACTTCATCGCTCTATCCTCCCCTTCTACTCCCGCGCGATACCTGTCGCCATGTCGCAGGCCGAGGTTCCCCGTGCCGAGTCCATCGATGACCAGGAGCGTGCTCACGCCGCTGATGGCGACAAGAAGCCCAAGTCCCGAAGACCCGCTAGTACGCGTTCCCCCCTTCACCCCGAGCCTGGAATTTATCGCCTTGCCTTTTCCCGACTGACTCGACGTGTTCTTAGATACCGCTTTCCGACAACAGCGATTAAAAGCATGGCAGTGAGCTTATTCTTCGATTCCGGATCATCCGCCAACAATACTGGGACTGACCGTTGCCTTCCGCTTAGACCGATCTTGACCCCCAAAAGTGTGCTTCCTTTGTTCTTTATCGTCGGCGTTCTTTTCGCTCCCATCGGTGGTGTCCTTATCTGGGCGAGCTCTCAGGTACGTTTATAATCTCGCAGATGCGATCCGTACTTATCGCGCGTCTGACACCCTATTGTTCCTCTAGGTCCAAGAGCTTGTTATCGACTACACGGACTGCAAAGCCAGTGCACCGGAGAACACCATGGCAGATATCAGAGACCGCGTGTCCGCCACTTTTAAAGCTTCGACAGCAGATAGCAAATACTACTGGAAACAATCTAATGGCACCGACAATAGCACAGTGTGCTCCCTCTATTTCAACATCCCCGAGTCGATGGGCCCTCCGGTCTTCCTGTACTACCGCCTCACGAATTTCTACCAGAACCATCGTCGCTACGTCCAGTCTTTGGACTTGGATCAATTGAAGGGCACTGCGGTTCCGAACAGCACAATTTCGGGCAGCGTCTGTTCCCCCCTAGCGACCGACGATGCTACCGGCAAAGCGTACTACCCTTGTGGCCTGATTGCCAACTCCATGTTCAATGATTCCATCAGCAGTCCGGTGCTGCTGACAGGAAAGGACCCGGTCAATTACACTATGACAAAGACGGGGATTGCATGGGATAGTGACAAGGCGCTGATCAAGCAAACCCAGTATAAGCCATGGGAAGTGGTTCCCCCGCCAAACTGGAAGAGTTACAATGGTTCTTACGAGAAGACCGGCATTCCTAATCTTCATGAAAATGAAGATTTCATGGTTTGGATGCGGACAGCGGGGTTGCCGTCCTTCAGTAAACTCTCCCGCAGAAATGATGACACCGCTATGGGGCGAGGAGACTATCGTCTGGATATTGTCGATGGTACGTGAAATGATCCAATTTGCCGACCGTTCTGCCGTGTTAGAAACGTTGCTAATCAGGTACTAGAATTTCCCGTCACCGAATACGATGGAACTAAGTCGATCTTGCTCTCTACTCGTACGGTCATCGGCGGTAAGAATCCCTTCATGGGAATTGCTTACGTGGTTGTGGGCGGAGTTTGTGTGCTCTTGGGCGCCTTATTCACGGTGGCCTACTTGATCCGACCTAGGTATGTATAGCGTGATTAGTTAGGGCCTCTGTGCCGACAACCTTCAAATTTTCGACAATGGCTAATCATCTTCTAGAAAACTGGGTGACCACACCTATCTTACGTGGGACGCTACCAACCAGCCAACCACTGCTGTGGCCTCGGGGCGGGATGACAGAATGCGCCCAAGTGCGCCTTGAGGCCTCATCAGCTTCTCTTTCTCCTTCGTTTCTTTTCTTGGGCGGTTTCACTTATCTCAGTTTCTTTGCTATACTACTTTCCCCCTTTTCTTTGTGCTTCCAATACTCCATGGGCCGCTACCTATATTGTGAATAAATGGATCGTTCCGGTTCGGGTGTTAAACAAGGAGTTTCTATGTATCTACAACTGTCACAACAACGAGCATTCTTACTTCTTTTCATCACCCTTGGATGACCTCATACCTCTGGCCGAGGAATTGGCCAGCCTTGTCGGATGCCAATGAAGTGCACGTTTTCTTCTCTCCGCCTGGTTTGCAGCTGTCGATCCTTCCGGTACGGTACTCTGACCCCTTGCATGGGACATGCATTCCGTTCATGATGCAGCATTCTCCGGACTCCAACATCGGATCGAGTCCACAGAGGCTCCGGGCAGCCTAGTCATATAGTGGTCGGTCTCGCGGTGATGAGAACCCCGAATCTTTCCTGAGGTTTGTGACGGAGGAATCGCGACATAGGGGCATCCAACACCAACAACATCATGGTCTGTCGCTCTTTAGCTCCGTTCGTGGTTCTTGTCACAACGCTCTTTTCCTTGCAAGTGCAATGCGGTCCAGTGGTGTTTGAACAGCGTGGCATCTGCGCTACCGAAGACCCAGATACGTCCTTCTTGGACGCACTCCAGCGTGTCAGAACAGATGAGACCCAGCTACCTGAAACTGGGTCAGAGGCCCGCAACGGCCCCATCGAGATTGAGACCTGGTTCCATATCATCTCCAGTAAAGCAGAGCAAGACCAGGTTTCTGATGACATGATCGATTCTCAGGTTAGTTCTACCTCCATCGCTCCCGTTCTCGATAATTTTATTGCAAGTCATGGACGAATGCTAAGACATGGGCATAGATCTCCATTTTGCAAGATGCGTATCAGGATGCCGGTATCCAATATCGACTGCAAGGCGTCACCCGTCATGTGAACGATGTTTGGGCTCGTAACGGAGACGACACAGGCATGAAGTCAGCCCTCCGGAAAGGCACCTACCGAACTCTAAACGTTTACTTCCAAACCAACCTCCAGGCATCTCCCGACCAAGCCGGACGTGCCAGTCACCGCGGAGCCTCCCATTCAAGTGATCTCTCATCCAGCGTGCTAGGGTTCTGCACCCTCCCCGATCCAAGCGTGAACGCCACCAGTCCCCGTGCCGACTACATCAAAGATGGCTGCAACGTTCTCGCCAGCGCAATGTCCGGTGGAACATTGGACCTTTACAACCGAGGAGGAACCGCCATCCACGAGATCGGACACTGGAATGGCCTTTTGCATACCTTCCAAGGGGAGTCCTGCGCCGAGGATAATCCAGGAGACTACATCGCCGATACACCCCAGCAATCTGTGCCCACTGGCGGATGCCCTGCTCGAAAGGACTCTTGTCCAGGTTTGCCGGGGCAGGACCCCATCCACGATTTTATGGACTACTCATCTGACGTCTGTTATGAGAGTTTTACACCTGGCCAGAATGAACGTATGCGAAATATGTGGGCATCGATGCGTGCAGGGAAATAGCTTAATGGAATTGAATTGTCTCTCGCTTTGTTTCAATGGTCATCTACACGGATGTATCTTAGAATTGCGCCTCGAGCGTATTACCTGGTGACTGGAGTAAATCACAATAAATGCCAAAAAGTATTAGCGTCACGGCACTAAATTGAGTAACAAATCGAAGAGTAGTACAGTAGTACGGAACGATCAAAGCTGAATGACCATTTCTTGACATAAATTGCAAACCTGGGCTTGTTTTGTGAATGGTAGATGTCACCTATTGGTCCTCATCCACCGAAAGTTGTTTAAAAGACACTAAAAAGACAGCGAGGCTTAAGCCCGAAGAAAAAAAAAAGAAGGAAAACAGGCGCAGAAACACCCAAATCACATTGGAATGAACTGAAAAAGAAAAGCCGCCTTATCACCATCGACCTCGGGGGAACCAATTTAGCGCTTGCGCTTAGTACCACGGTCATCGTCGTCCATTCTGGTCTCCTTGTCCTGGCGCTTGGCCTTCTTCTCCAGCTCATCCCAGTCCTCACCACTCTCCTCATCGCCACTGAACTCCGCTTCGCTTCCATCAGCACTGGCATCTTCGTCATACTCGCTGTCCTCCTCAGAGCTCTCATCAGCGGCCAGCTCCGAGTCGGAAAGCTCGAATGCCGACTCTTCCTCCTCATCAGATCCCTCCGAGTCCGACTCAGCGGCCAGGAAAGACCAGCCGCCGTCGGCAAAGAAGCCGTACGGATCACTGACGACTGTCTTCATGATGGTGGTCCAATTCAGGTTGAGTGGACCTTCAGTGTAGGCGATGTCAACAGAGTCAAGCCAATCCTTGACGCCCTCCAGCGCCTCAACGGGGATGGTATTGACGTGGACGGGAGCCCTGTGGAAGTCCTTGAACACGAAGACAAGATCGAAGTTTTTGAGACCGAACTATTGGTAAATTAGCAATCGTCAACAGTGGAAAAGCATCAATGTGCAAGTTAACCATACCTGCACTCTCTCCAAGTGGGCAATCTCAATCTCATTGAGCGTAATGACCATGAATGGAGGTTCAGTAAGCTGCACGAGAGCATCTGTAGTGGGCTGAATCAAGACGTTGGAACGGTTGGGCACACCGGTGAATCCAATCTCTCGGAAAGGAATATCGACATCGACGCCTTCGTCCTTTCCAGCGTCGGCGATCTTTTCAGCAAACGCCTTGAACTCACGGTCGAGCGCGGCTCGGCGTCGTCGTTCTTCCTGCTCAGCCTCAAACTCTTCTTCATCACCATAGCGGTGCTTGCGCCGGCGGTTGCCAGTTTCATCGAACTGCATCTCGGTGGCCTCGCGGTAGAACTGGACATCCCGAGTCTTTCTCTTTCCAATCATGATAGGTGTCTTGAGGTGTACATGAATGAGAACAATCAGTTCGTGTGCGCAGGGTTGGAAGAAGAGATGCTTGACGTTGCTGAATAGTACGTCGACGTGCTCGCTGCGGAAAGGTGACAAGTAGCGAAGACCGTTCTGGTGAATCTCGACTTCTCCAGGCACACGCTTTCCATCCAAGGGTGGTCGCAAGTAAACGTCAGGCAGCTTCACCGGGCGACGATCTATGAATTTGTGTTAGCATCAAAGCCCAGAAGACTCTTCGCACTAGCGGGGACCGTAGCATACTTCTGATTTCAACGAGCTTGTCTTGCTCGACGACGTCCTCCAGTTCCTTCTTTTCTTGCTCCCGTCTCAAGGCAGTCTTGCGCAGTTCAGTTATGTCCTGCGCGACCTGCGCCATTCTGTCATTGTTCTTGGATCGCAGAGTCAGGTTGCGGACGAAATGAGCAGATGGGTCTTCAAATGGCTGATCATCCTTACGGCCAACACCCTGGCCCGGAGACAGGAAGTTGATCCGCAGATATGCGTATTCTCCCTCGTCACTCTTGCTTGCGTTCTTGATCGTGTTGATGTGGAAGGGCACTGGCCTGCCCATGATGGGTACGATAACAGTCGCGGCTTTGTGATCAACGTAGACAGTCAAATCCTTGACCTTGGGTGGGAGCTGGTTATCGCGCTTGTAGGACTCAAACCGCTTGAACTTCTTTTGAGCGACACCGTTGTCGTCTCCAGTGGTGCCTGCAAACCTTTCCAGACCCTCCTTCGTCTTCTTACCAGCGAGTTCTTTCTGGTGCTCACGACGGCGGGCTTCAGCACCCTCGTTGATCTGGGTTGGCCGCTCGGCACGCAGTTTGGTCCGCGTGACATTTCGGCTTGCAACGGCACTTGACTTCGACTCCTTCTTCTCTTTAATGGGCTTCTCAGGCTCTTCCTCATCTCCGAAGTAGAAGGAGACGGAGTCCATGTCGATTCCAGCGTCTTTGGTGAAAATGTGAGGCCCACTTTCTCCAACGCGAACGGTGTCTGTAATCACCATGGAGTAAACATTATTTCCCTTCGACTTGGAGTCAGTGTCCTTCACATCGGTTAGGCCAATGGTAATTGCCAGGGTCATGCCATTCTTCAAGACTCGATTGTTCTTAGCATTCAGAATCATGTTGGCATCCCGAAGTTCGATACCGATACCAGCACCGATATTCTTGGTCAGGTGGTTCTCAAGCTCGGGCTTCTTTGAGCGGACAAGGCTGAGCGCCTTGTTGTAGAGGTCCTTGGCCACTACACCATCGCGAATCTCCTTCATCACCGCGTCGTGAAGGTTGAGCAGGAACGCATAGTTGGCTTCCTGGGACTTGCTGGGATCTACCAGGTAGGTACGTCCGATGAGCGAGTTGTAGGTCTTGTAGCGGATTCCAAAGCTGGACAGAATGATGCCCGGTTTCAGATTGTTGCCGTCGGAGGTTGCCGTCAATTTAAGATCATAGGCACCTCCACTTTGCACGACCGGTCCGTAAGCCCAATCGATCTGCTCAGCGTCGAATTCAGATGGCAGGCGCGCCAGCTTGTTGAAGAACTTGGAATCATCGATTTTGGCGTCCACCTTCCCTGCGAGGGCCTTGTGAGTGATTTGCTTTTCTTCGTCTAGCAATTGTGACATCTCGTCCACGAAGTACTCCGACATCAAGCCACTGCATGCTCGGGACGCATTGCGAATAGAGACCTGAAAACCCCGTCAGCAAGCTTGTCTTACAAGGCGCATGGAGAAAGGCAATCTTACAAGCTCTTCTGGGTCCTTGATCGCAAAGGCGCTAGAAAGCGCCGGCGTTATGTCCACTTCCTCCACTTCCTTTGAAATCTCCGAGAATGTGCGCTTCCAATCGTCCGCGAAGGGGCCAGTCGTCGTGTCTTTGGGTAGGGTGCCAACTTTCTTCTACATTCGTGCAGCATGGTCAGTCATCCTTAGAAATGAACCCCCAAATTGAAAATGCAGGTGGATGGTTCTACTTACCCCGGCGCCCTTAATAACTTCGAGACACTTTTCGAATGCCTTTGTTTTCGATTCCGGGTCCTTTGTCGTCACCAAAAGCTCGACGGGGATCTTTCCACCCTTCAGAGGCTCGAGAAGCTCGGCTAGATCGCCCAAATATTAGCCTGGTGTCGCAAAATGTGACAGAATCGGTCCGAAAGTACCTTTCTTGGCCGTGGTGACCACGTAGATCGCCTCGGTTGTCAGGACGAACAGGGTAGCAGGAAACTCGTAGCCCAGAAGCCAGAACTAAGGTACCAACAAGTTAGCATCTAGTAAGGGAAGTGCTGCCTCTCGAAATGAATATGGACATGAAAACTTGATAAGAACCAGCTGACGTACGTGCATGGCGTTGTTCTTTTGAAAAGAGCTCTCATCGCTCTTGGTTTTGCCCATGAGGATGACAATAGACCCAGCTCCACCAAAGAGGGTATTTCCTGAGCGCTTGTCGGCCTTCCATGATGCATAGAAGTTCGACAGATGGTTGAAGAAGGTGTTCTTGTCAATCGCGATCTTGTCGGCCATCTTGGAAGCTGGTGCAAGCAAAGCTTGCTAGCAAGAGTGAGAGACCGGGCGCGAAAGAAGAGGTCGGGGTTGATCGATAAATCAAGGTTGCATGCGATAGGGGGGATTGAGACACAAATGAGATGAAGCTTGAATGAGACGGAGAGGATGTGGTGGAAGGGGGAACGATGTGGTGATGTCAAAGAAGGTCGGCCCTTGGAGGAGGAAGAGGAGGGAGAGGCGGACGCGAAAAGCGCGTTTTGAGTTCCCTGCGGCTTCCCGTGCCCAGTTTTGCCTCTTTGGGCTTAGCGCCACTTTGCGGAAGTTTGGGGTTGTTCTTTTTTGGATTCGTTCCGATCTTGTAGCTTCAGTCTATCGGTGCTTCACACTTCCTCTTTCACCTCCGCTTGGAGGCTAGTCGCCAAAGTCTCTCACCTTCACTTGGTCATCACTATGTACTTCTTGGGTTTTGCTTTGGTCATTAGCTCTGACAGCCTCCGTTTGTGATCCGAGCCCGGCTTTTGACAACCCCTCCGCAAAACAACCCAACCAAGAGCTATTCCCGATGTTGTGCTGGGAGTGATACACTCGGAATATCTAGATTTGCGATGAACCCCATATTTCTAGAGCCCAACTTTGGTGACCCAGGGGCTGCTCGACGAAAACCTCGCAACGATGCCGCGACTGGAGCTTCCGCCGCGGGTGTCCGCGCTCTCAGCGCGCAAATGGTAGCTTTCTACTTCCGGGCCCCGATAAAGGCCTTTTTTCGCACTCGCGTTGAGTAAGTAGTTTCCTGGTTGATCCTCTGTTGAATCTAGCTAATATGGAATTAGTTATATGGTACATAGATATCCTCTTTCTTCCCCGTACCGGTGGTCGATTCGCTAATTCCTGCCTCTTGTCGGATCATTTGAAAATAGGCATTTGCAAGAGCTGTGAACCCTCGTGTGGCAGAAGGCAAATGGTCCATCCATACTACAACGCCCGGCCTCTTGCTTCATGCCATCAAGACCTATGGCTGGCGTTTCATTCCAAATCAAGTCTTGCCGCCTTTAATGGCGAATGCGGGGTGAGCAATGAAGAGGGCTTCCTCCCTTGTCTCCTCCTTCCGTTTTGTCCAAAGATGCCATATCTCTGACCTTTGGATTACTTGTTTTGATTACAGAGTCGGTGCCGTTTTATACACATCCTATCTTCAAGTACTCGGAGCCCTACATGAGCCTGTTTCGCAGGGCGTCAAGCGAATATGGCCTCCCGCTCCTCCGATGGCCACCTTCACCGCTGGATTTGCCGCTGGAACCATTCAATCGATTATTGCGGCCCCTTTGGATGCACTACAGGTTCGACTTCAAACTAGCGACATGCTGGATGGGCAGTATCGAAGCATGTGGCATTATGGGCATCATAAACTGAATCAGATTGGCCTTCGGGGAGTCTTTGCGGGGTGGAGTCTCTCCTTCTTACGAGACTCGCTAGGCTATGCTGTGTTCTTCTCCGCCTTCGAGTACATCAAGTCGCAATCATACTACTCCTTCATAACCTGGTACTATGGGGCGCTGCGTGCCGAGACAGTTGATCAGTTGCCCTCTCCGGGATCCAGCGATCGCGGTGTACCACTCATTAAGCCACACTATGCCTTGGAACCATGCTTCCTCATGATGGCGGGTGTGGTGGCCTCGGTGGCCCAACAAACTATTCAGCACCCACTCAGCCGGATCCAGGACCTGCACCTTGGCCGGCTAGAGTATCTCGACCACCAGGCGAGTCTGGACCCTTCGCGGCGGCAAATGCTGCGGCTGTACTATCATGCCTACCAGGAGACCTGGAAACGGTGCCGACGTAAGGCCACGCGGGCCGGGAGTTGGAGGCTGTGGCTCTTCCGCGGGTTTGCGGGGAGTGCACTTCGTCAAGTGCCTAGTACTAGTGCGGGCCTGGTGATTTTCGAGTTGGTTCGTCGGCGATATGCGAGCCTGGCGGACGCAGTGCACATCCAGAAGGATGGATACGATATTCTTCTTAATTAGGGATTTCCCTAAGTCGTGTCTATCTTTCGAGTGGCTCCATCCCTATCTGTCACTGATGCTGATCTGCGATTCTTGATTGATGGGGGATTGCTTTTGGTCCATTTTTTTTTTGCTGCAGGCTTATGGCGGCACTGCATCTTACATATTGCATCTTGCATCTTGTTTATTACATCGTATATAGATTTGGCTTCTCCACTTGGCTGCGGCAGATGATACCCCATTTTTTTTAGTTATCTCCCCTATGATCATACATCAAGGCTGAATTCCAGAATCAGTCATTCCAAGAGGTCATGCATTCAGCACGGGCGCGGCTCAAGCGCCACCACTGTAATCTGGAGATCTGACGCGTGGGTGTCGACAAGCAGCTATGCAAGGGCATCCTTTATGTTGATTAAATCAATAATGGTAATAATAATCTATGTAAAGTAGGGCATGGATCGATGACAGTTTCTGTATTGTCCTATGGATCGACGGTGGTTTAAGAGATCATGTATACATCTGGAGGTAGGTCTCCACCCATCTACCACAGTACGGGACGAACTGTAGGCTGGTACGTGGTAATTCCAAAGTCTGGATAATCTAAGGACCAGAAAGACAGTCCAATCAGATGCCATTTACTTGCTCTTCCCTGATGACCTGGGTCTCAGTCGTTATCTAGCATTCAACTCGGGACTGATAAGATGATTTTTGAAGATCTATCGGGGTTTCAACCAAACTAGACCACTGTAGATATGGAAGATGTTCTCTCCAGAGAACAAGTATAAGCTCACAGAGGCACCGCCATATTACCTATATAAGATTATCATAGCATACATGTGTTATGAGGTTATGAGACAGCCAAGATTCGCTATTAGTAAATCCGTACTTTGGTTCGTTTTGCTTCTGGTGCGGCTAAGAATATCTTTTTAGATACGTTAGCTTGGAGGAATACAGCGGTTATAGACTGTGGAATTCTATATAGTCTGATCTTATGGTGAGGGTTCCAATATATAAAGATGCCTAGTAACAAGTCATTTTCCTACGAGTAAAATGATAATAGTATTGTACTCCCAAGGGTAATCCATAAAGTCTAACATCGTCATCAACCGGTGGTTAGTGTCTCTGGCTGGCGTGGAGGGGCTCCACTGTGGATCCCCCGAAAGTTGACAAAGTTGACGCCCTCGACGTCGACGGAACGAGACAAATTCCCCCGTATTTGCGAAGCGTACCACGACTACAGTTACCTCTACCCCCTGTTGGATCTTGGACTGGTAGACTGGGCTGAATCCGGGCTGAGCCTCCTCTTGCCTTTCTGTTTCCTAATTATTCGTTGGACTTGTTCACCAGCATCTATCTATCTTCTCCCCCAAATTCTACCTTCCTCAACCCCCTACTACTTACTCTCTGTGAGGGACCCTGCATTGTCCATGCGCTTGTCTCTCCGAGATCTTCCTAAACCGTCCACCACTCGCCTGACCTCGCTCGTTCCCACTTTTATTTTCCTCTCCCTCCCATCGTGGACTTGCCGTCATCTTGCGTCGATCGCGCTGTGTGACTAGCGACGAACTGCCTATCGTGACCGCTTCAGCCTGTGTGGCGTCACTAGTTACGACTTTCCACGCCGAAAGGGGGTCGCGGCAGGTCTCCTGCTTGGTCCGGCTGGTCTTTTGTCTGGGTCCTCTCCAGCTTGTCCTGCTGGTTCTGTTTCGCCGGTGTTCTCCATCCATTGCACTGGACGGTCCAGTCCTTGCCAGGAGAGTGAGAGAGTGAGAGACATCTAAATTAGACAAATTAAAAACAAGGGAAAAAAGGGTTTCTAAGGGCTGGAATATCAGCCCGCCCACCGCCAACATTCCTCCGTCAACCTCCTCCCCACGCGCCATACCCCTCCGCAGCCTCCCCGATTCTTCAGCCCAATTCACGGTCCTGGAATCCGCCAGCGAGAAGGGAAGTCGTCGGTCCTCCCTATCCTCGACTCGCTCGGGCGAGTCAGACTTCTCCGCCTGGTCAGACACCGGCGACCTTGCCGAACAGCTCGCCGAGGAGGATCCGCTTCAGATCCACCTCCGCAAGTCGCTCGACCGTGACCATCGTGCTCGACGAGGTCGAAGGAGAGCCCCCAAGCGAGTCCATTATCCACCCGATCTCGATTATCCCCGCTCTTCGGTCGATCTTGAAAAGGAACAGATCCAAATCCCTACTCCCCCGCCCCGACGTATCTCCAGAATCGAGCGTATCCTAGCCGCCCTCATGTCTCCCCGAAACGGGCAAAATGCCCAACTACATGGTTTGGTGGGCAAGCCGTTGTTGTAAGTCAACCGAGAGCTCTGCTGCCCCTCCTCTCGACAAGAACCTGGGGGAGCTGTGGGAAACAAAAAGACCAAGCATGGTAGCTGACAGATCCCTCCTTCTGCTCGCCGTAGGTATTTTACAAGTGTCTTTGTATCACTAGGTGTCTTCCTCTTTGGCTATGACCAAGGTGTCATGTCCGGAATTATCACGTCCGTACTCCCCTCCGAACGCGACATTTTGCAATGGAGATAGCAGGTCCACTAACCCAGGTGCAGAGGAGCGTTTTTCCGTGATTACTTCGATCAACCCTCCCGGGCGACTATCGGCACAGTGGTGGCCATCTTGGAAGTCGGCGCATTCATCTCCTCCCTTCTGGTTGGCCGCATCGGCGACGTGATCGGTCGCCGGCGAACAATTCTCTATGGCTCGGCGGTGTTCTTCGTTGGCGGTGGTCTGCAGACCTTTGCAGTCAACATGCCCATGATGATGGTGGGCCGTATCGTGGCTGGTCTCGGTGTCGGTGCCTTGTCAACGATCGTACCCGTTTATCAATCTGAAATCTCGGTACGGAAAGAAGACCATACCCTTAAATATGCGCGGGAAGCTCATAACTGACGACTTGCGGTATAGCCTCCCCATAACCGTGGAAAGTTGGCCTGCATCGAATTCACGGGAAACATTGCTGGATATGCTACCAGTGTTTGGGTCGACTACTTTTGCAGCTTCATCGAATCGGATATCTCGTGGCGCCTGCCCTTGCTATGCCAGTGCGTCATGGGTGCCTTGCTTGGAGTCGGAAGTTTGATTATCTGCGAATCTCCCCGGTAAGAAGACGAATAGATGAACCTTTCCTCCATAGACAGCGAAATTGATCGTGGTTCTAACTTCGCTTCAACAGGTGGCTTCTTGACAATGACCATGACGAAGAAGGCATGATCGTCATCGCAAACCTCTACGGTGAGGGTGATATTCACAACGACAAGGCGCGTCAAGAGTATCGAGAAATTAAGATGAATGTCCTCATGCAGCGACAGGAAGGAGAACGATCCTACAGTGATATGTTCAAACGCTACAAGAAGCGAGTATTGATTGCCATGTCAGCGCAGGCTTTGGCCCAGTTGAACGGAATCAACGTGATCTCGTACTATGCGCCTTTGGTCTTTGAGTCAGCCGGATGGGAAGGTCGGAACGCAATTTTGATGACAGGTATCAACGGCATTACTTATCTTCTCTCCACCGTGCCTCCATGGTATCTGGTCGACCGCTGGGGCCGGCGACCTATCTTGCTCTCTGGGGCGGTGGCCATGCTCATCTCCCTCTCCTTGATTTCATACTTTATTCACATCGAGATTAAGGCGACCCGGACTTTGACTGTCATCTTTGTGATGATTTATAATGCCGCCTTTGGAGCATCCTGGGGACCTATCCCTTGGCTCTATCCTCCCGAGATTTTGCCTTTGAGCATTCGTGCCAAGGGTGCCAGTCTCAGCACCGCCAGCAACTGGGCGTTCAACTGGCTTGTGGGAGAATTGACGCCCATCTTGCAGGGAGCCATTGGGTGGCGACTGTATCTACTGCACGCTTTCTTCTGCGCTTGCAGTTTCGTGGTTGGTAAGTTATCCCTCCCCACTTTTCAATTTTTAAATTCCTATCGCGATCATTTTGAAGTATCGATTTTGTTTCTCTATACTCACATATCGACCTATAGTATACTTCTTGTATCCCGAGACCAGTGGTGTTCGCTTGGAAGATATGAACGTCTTATTCGGTGATGCGACTACTGCCATGCCCACCCCAGTCACCGATGGTGAGCGTGGATCCTTGATGGGTGGAGGCTCGCCCGTCCCCTCGCTTGACATTCGCCGACCCTATGGCCAATTTGGAGCCGAAAGTGCCATTCCTGGGCTCGATATCAATCCACCCACAATTGGTGCTGATGGCCTAGGCAAATCAGGACGAGGCGATTCCCAGGCGGGTAGTCATCGGGGCGAAGGAATTGGAGGCTGGATCTCCAACATGGTGAATCGCCATCGGAGCGGAAGTACTGGCACCAACCCAAGTCAATACAGACGGTTGGGACAAGGCGAGGACGAGGAGGAACATTAAGAGCGAATTGCCAATCCCGGCGTGGATTGAAATGACATGGCGTTACTTTTTTCTTTGTTAATTCTTGTTGCTTTTTTTCTTGCTTCGGAAACACTTCTTTCATATACTATACCATGTTGGCTTTTCTTGTGTTTTTTTTTTTTTTTTTTTTTTCCGTTGCCTTGGAAGCCCTTTTGACTGGCTGCACACCTTCCTTATTTGAGACCTGTATATTCGATCGAATCCTTCCTACATGTTGATCTTGCATTCTGTATCATTTGAGATCTATGGGTTTTGCTCCTCTGGTACATTGCTCTCGTATAGAAGGGATTTTGCATTTGGCTGTTCTCATGGGTGTGGGCCAGGGACCTTCGGGACCCTTGTTGATGGCTATGACTTGTACTACTTTCTCATCTCACAATTTTTCTGACGAGTCTACTGGCAATGGTTCATGTATATTCTGGCTATGGATGATATAGTATGGGTGGGGGATTCCAAACCGAGGCATTGTTATAACTATGAGTGGGACGATCACACTGACAGCACCTAAATTCTATCAATATTTGCCTTAGTTCTGCCTGCATAATAATATCCTCCGTAAATTCTCAATCTTCTTCCATCTTCGACGATCATTCTAATTCATAAGTCGCATTACCTCTGAGTAGGATCCTTGACTATTTTCGTTCGCGGTGGCCAGACCTGAAAACGGCCCCCTCGGAGGCTTGGGAGGGGGGCTAAAGCGGAAGTGGACCTTTTGTTTACCGTATCCTTTTGGCCAGCTCGCCTTCTTCCTCAGCCCCGTGTCTCTCTTTCTCGTTTCCATTCTCATTTTCTTATTCTTTTCTTCATCTTTTCAATTCTTACCTCCAGCGAATTAGCTGTGTGCTCTTTGCGACCTTTGGGGTCGCCATGATCCTTTGAAAGCCTTGTTGCTAACCCTCTACTCTCGTTACGGAATCCGACCACGCTGGTATCTACTGAACCTATCAACCTCCGACCTCCGACCGCCGTCTACCAACCGACCCATCCTCATTCCAACCATCAACACCTTCTTTTAATTCACGGCCATTTGGCTCCTTGGCCAAAATGGACACTGCCTCCAGCACGGGCGCCAAGCATGACGCCGATCTGCGTCGGCGCAATGTCCCTGACACTGGAAAAGCCTCCACACCTACCTTCACAGTCGACCATGATGTGAAAAAGACCAAGCCGGGCCAGGTAAAGAGACCACTGTATGGGATAGACGGGATTTGTGCTAATACACGTTTTCTATCTAGTCCCCCTCTTTCCTACACGTTCTCGCTGGCTGGGAACCGATCATTGCCCCGATCCTCCTGACAGCGCTCGCTTTGTTCACGCGACTCTACCAGATTGGTCGTTCGAATATTGTCACCTGGGATGAAGCTCAGTATGGATAGTCTATTCCGCCGCGTGCGATTGCGCCCACCCAGTGCTAATGGCTGATACGGTATCTAGTTTCGGAAAGTTCGGCTCCCACTACCTCAAGCGCGAGTTCTACTTCGATGTACACCCTCCTCTCGGAAAGATGCTGGTTGGTCTCTCGGGCTACCTCGCCGGCTATAATGGATCCTTTGAGTTCAAGTCCGGCGAGAAGTATCCTGAGGATGTCGACTACACCTTCATGCGAGCCTTCAATGCGATGTTCGGCGTCGTCTGTGTCCCTCTCGCTTACTATACCGCTCGCGAGCTGAACTTCCGTCGCGCTACGGTCTGGCTGATCAGCTTGATGGTGCTGTGCGAGAACTCCTATGCGACTATCTCCCGTTTCATCCTTCTGGACTCGATGCTGCTCTGCTTCACCTTTACTACGATGATGTGCTGGGCCCGGTTCCACCGCCTGCAGCGTGCCAGCTTCTCGCCGGAGTGGTGGCTCTGGCTTTGCCTGACTGGATTCAGCATTGGCTGCGTCTGCAGTGTGAAGTGGGTTGGATTCTTCTGCACTGCGGTCGTGGGTCTCTACACTGCCGAGGATCTCTGGAATAAATTCGGTGACGTGAAGATGCCGCCGGTGAGGACAATATCGCTAAGAATTGAACGGCAAAGACTGTGAAGCTAATGATTTGATTCTAGACTCTGCTGGCTAAGCATCTCTTTGCTCGCGTGGGAGGCTTGATTGTCATCCCAATTCTGGTGTACATGTTTTCGTTCTACCTGCATTTCACCGTTCTGTCCAACAGTGGTCCCGGTGATGCGCAGATGAGCTCTCTTTTCCAGGCCAACCTGCGTGGCACCGAGGTGGGCAGGGATAGCCCTCTTGAGATCGTCCATGGATCCCGAGTCACCATTAAGAACATGGGTTATGGCGGTGGTCTGTTGCACTCCCACGTTCAGACCTACCCGGAGGGTTCCAATCAGCAGCAGGTTACTTGCTATCACCACAAGGATGCCAACAATGACTGGTTCATCTATCCGAGCCGCAACGAGCCCGAGTACGATGCCGCCGGTGATCTCAAGTACATCGCTGATGGAGATACCATCCGCCTCATTCATGGTCAGACCGGTCGTAACTTGCACTCCCACGCTATCGCTGCTCCGGTTTCCAAGTCCCACTATGAGGTTTCCTGCTACGGCAACATCACTATTGGCGATGACAAGGATCACTGGAAGATCGAAGTCGTCAACGATGCCGCATCCCGGGATCGTTCCAAGATTCGTACACTGACCACTGCATTCCGCCTGCGCCACCCTGCCATGGGCTGCTACCTACGGGCTGGTAATGTCAACCTGCCGCAATGGGGTTTCAAGCAGATTGAGACTACCTGTGTCAAGGAGAACAAGCCGGGCGACGTGTACACTCACTGGAATGTCGAGTCGCACACCAATGAGCGCCGTAAGTTCTATTGCATCCCTCTATTATATGGCCAATGAGGTAGATTTTCGACTAACAATATGTTCATAGTGCCCCCTGGTGACCCTGGTTCCTACAAGTCGCCATTCCTCAAGGACTTCATCCACTTGAACGTTGCCATGATGACCTCGAACAATGCCCTGGTTCCCGACCCTGATAAGCAGGATGACCTGGCCTCGCAATTCTGGCAATGGCCGATCCTGAATGTCGGTTTGCGCATGTGCTCCTGGGATGACAGCGTTGTCAAGTATTACCTTCTCGGCAACCCTCTCGTCTACTGGGGAAGTACTGGTGGTCTTGTTGGCTTTGGTCTCCTCTTCATCTGGTACCTCCTCCGCTGGCAACGAGGATATAACGAGCTGAGCCAGCAGGAAATCGACCACATCCACTATGCTGGCATTTACCCTGCCATTGGCTGGGTCCTGCATTACCTTCCATTCATCGTCATGGCTCGTGTGACCTACGTCCACCACTACTACCCAGCTCTCTACTTCGCCATTATTGTCTTTGGTTTCTGCGTTGATTGGGTTACCCGCCGAATCAACGCTAAGATCTCCGCAGTGGTGTTTGCCGTTCTATACACCGTCATCATCGGCCTGTTCATCCACTTCCGGGCCATCGTCTTCGGCATGGAGGGCTCCAACCAACAATGGGCTCATCTGCGCTGGTTGCCCGGTTGGAAGATCGCGAACTAAAGGGGGTGACCGTGAACCGACCACGTACCCGAAAAACAGATTACGGGATGAAATTTCTTTGTTCGCTATGGTTGACCTAGGGGGGTTGGGCCCTTTGCTATTTTGCTCGACGTCTTTCTATTTTCTGACGTGCAAAACTGCGTGAGCCAAAAAGGGGTTAGACCATTTACCATGGCGAGGACGTTGCTTATCTTGATGGATTATGTCTTTGTAAAGATAGTATAATTGATCTCTTTCACTGAATCATGTCATATGTACATTCTCTTGCAATTAGTAAAGCTTTCCAGCGTAGGATCATCGCGCCGGGGGCCAGTTAAGCCTGCATTAAATCCGTTTCCTCTGACGCTAGCAGCAATTTCCACCCCAACCACTGCCTTTGCGCATTGCATCATCCATCCCCAAGGTGACTGTTCTTGGAACCCCAGTATGAGCACCTCCCGAGGCGCCAAATCCTTTGACTCCGCTGCGCCGGTCATTCAGATCGTATCTACCGGCTTCAATATTCCGGTAAATACGCTCAGCAACTTCCAAGAATGCCCGTTCTACACCATCTCCCGACTTGGCACTGGTCTCGACGTAGCGAACGATATTATTCAAGCGGCACCATTCCTCGGCCTCCTCCTGGGTGACCTGCCTTTGATTGGCGCCTGATTCATTTCCGGCCAAATCTGTCTTATTTCCAACCAAGATAACCACAATACCCTCCTCAGCAATCTGGCGGAGATCTTGAAGCCACTGCGTACATGATATGAAGGTTGATCGCCGGGAGATATCAAAGACGAGGAGAGCACCGGACGCGCCTCGGAAGTATGAGCGGGTAATAGACTTGTATGTTTCTTGGCCAGCAGTGTCCCAAAGAGAAAGCTTCATCCGTTTCTGGGTGGGTAGCTCTTGTGGTTTCCGGGGTGGCGTGGGGAGACCACCGGAGGTCGGTGTTTCCTCCGAAGGAATCTCGCGGGCGGCGCTGCGTGAAAGCTCATCTAGCCCTAGCTCCTGTGATGCAGGGGGCCCAACCGGGACAATCCTCGAACCGAACTCGACGCCGATAGTGACATCGTGAGTAGGGGAGAAGCGACCTTCGCAGAGGCGAATAGTGAGCTAATACACAGCTTAGTTAGCACGGACTTGGGGCCAGAGGGAAGCCGATAACACCAGACTCACGCTGGACTTGCCGGTACCCGAGTCACCGATGCAGACAAGCTTAGCGATATAATCCCATGGCTGTGACATGGAGAAAGAGTGTGTTCAAACGTGAATACGGTAACCTGTTCTGCGCCAGCGTCAGGAGTGGACCTGGTTGTTATCGGGGGGAGGTCCTTATCGGCTGGCTGAGTCAGCTATCGGGGCCTGACCTGCCCGGATGACGCTTGCATCACCTGAATGACCGGTCAACCTTCACCTTTTAATGTCCTCTGCTCGTCCTGCCCGGTTTGCAAGATCGGGTAGTTTCAAGACCGGGGATCGCTTCGCTCACTATTCTCTGCATCTGAACAATCGAGAAACTCAACATTCTTCCCACTAATCCTTTCATATCCAGCGTAATTCCGGAGAGTGGGCCATGTTCTCGGAATGTATGTATAGACCCCATACCTACCTGGATGCGTCTCTGACTGGAACTGTCTCCGCGCTTGTTTACAGATGCCTCACGTTTCCTCGCTCAGTCACAGTCGCGAGTCGCGTCTCGCCCAGACGAGCTACAAAGAACCGGCCGTGCTCCTCCAAACCAGCGGCAAGGCAGCACACGACACCCATCTTCGCGCTCCTACTTAAGAAGCGGTGACCCATATCGACCGGGTGCATCACAGATCTCCAACTTCCCCTTTGCATCTCGAGCATCGGCTCAACCAGCTCCGTTATTCTACAGTGCGACCGACGAATTTCGAGAAGAAGATGACGAGACCGAGCGGGAACGCGAGATTGCGGATTTCTATGCTCTGCAACGTTCAAGGAGGCATTTTGGTGATAGTCACCTGAGAGAATCTTCAGAGAACGATGAAGATTCAAATCACTCTGTGGATTTGGATGAGGGTCAATCTCGGTATGATGAGCGGCCAGGGAATGGTAAGGGTATCAAAAGCTCCTGGCGTGGGGAGAAGAGTATACCTGCTCCCCGACAATCTCGAATAGAAACCGTGGTGGAAGGGGTGGAACAAGCATCCGAGTCCTACTCCAGCCCTGGCAGTAGTCGAGCCAGAGGTAACTTGGTCGACGTGGGGCTGGAGGATTCCTTTCGAGGGGGACTGGGCGATACCGACCGCATGCCGTCTGAGATGGTTGGCGATGAACCGCCCATCCAACGGTTTCGAGAACGACCCTCTGTCAAAGATGACTCCTTTGGCTTCAATGAATCCGACAATCCTGCCGAGCAGACTCGACCGTTATTCTCTTCAGAAGCTCCACGACGGCCGAGTTCGACAAGCTCTCTTCCTGCATCGATTTCACCTCTAACATCCGAGACTACCATGCACGATGCCTTCTGGGGGCAGCTATTCCTGATCGCTCTTGCAGGGCTATTTGCGACTTCATTCTTGGTCTACCTGCATACATCAACCCCATCATCCGGTGACAAGACGCAATGGGGGGACACCATCTACTTCACCGTTCATGGGTCATACTTCCTGTTAGGGATTTACACTCTTGTATCGGTGTTTGTCTCCCTAATCTGGCTGGCTCTGCTACGGTCCTATGTGCGCATTCTGGTCTACATCGTCGTTGTTGCGGTGCCTATTATTCTATACTCATTTTCGTTGTACCCTTTCATCTCGAGCTTCAAGGGTGCATGGAATGGGACCAGCTTCCAAGACAGAGTGATGCGCTGGGGATCCTTTGTTCCTTTCGTGATGGCGAGTCTATGGATATACAACGTCCTCCGAGGTCGTCGGGCAATCGGCAAGGCGATCGGTGTGCTGGAGTTTGCTTGCCGCATCCTTGCTGCAAACCCCGAGCTTCTTGCCCTCGGCCTGGTCATCCTTGCCTGCGTCGTCTCCTGGACGTGGATCTGGATGCTCATGTTCACCCGCGTGTTCCTTGGCGGCCACTTATCTGGCTCGAGGTCATTCATCATCGATCTCAGCAGCTGGTGGCTCGGCGTTTACTTCGTGCTGATCTACCTGTGGTCGATTGGAGTGATTGCGGGTGTTCAGCGTGCTGTCACCGCAGCCACAGTCAGCCAATGGTACTTCCACCGTCTCTCAAGCCCGGCACCTACTTCAAGGCAGATCGTCCAGGCAGCCGTCATCCATGCCACCACCACGTTGTTCGGGACGATTAGTCTTTCCCGCCTACTAGGGCTTCTCATTCGTCTACCAATCCTCCTTCTACCTAACCGACTATCCTCCATCATCAGCCTCTTTGCATACTCCCTCATCCCCACTCCCATTGCGTATCTCACGAACCCGCTCTCTCTAACCTATGCCGCGATCCACTCACAGCCATTGGGCGCTTCTGCCCGAGGCTTAAGTCAAATGACCCTCCTAGCACCATCAGCAGCATCGACATCTCTCCATCCTGGCGCCTATTCCCGCTCACCAGGGGCATCAGCATCTCTCCTCTCCTACCGGCTCTCCAAATTAATCCTCCATGCCACACGCTTCATGATGTCTCTAGCCCTCGGTTTCGGTGGCTGGGTCACAACAGCCCGAAGTCTCAACACGAGCGGTACAATACGGGGCAGTATGTATGCCTACGTGGTCGGCCTCATCGCCGCAACGATTGGCTGGAGTATCTTGGGCGCTATGGAGAGTGTCATCGCCGACATCGTGGATGCCGCTGTGATATGCTGGGCAAGTGAAGTCGGTGTGTATGGACGAGAAGCTCGATATTGCCGGGAGGCTGGGTGGTTATTTGGAGATTCGAATTCGGATTTCCGGCATGAGTATGGGGAAGTTTAGCGTTTTTTTCCTTGATGATCATGATTATTCTTTTTCTTTGATGATTTCCCCTTTGTTCTTTCTTCCTTTGCTGCCTTTTCCCTTCTCTTGAGCGGATTGACATTGCCTGGATTCTCAACGGTAGTATCTTTACAACAAAAGGACTATATCTATATAGAATCACATTTTCTTGGGAATTACATGCACATTGGCTCTTTGTAAAATGAGATAGGTATGTGTTTAGATGCTACACTATATGCTGCTTCTTGCCAGCATTCCCATCGGTCTCAGCCCCGTGTAGGTAAACAGGCTGTTACTGCACACCATAGTCCTAGGAGCCTACTAAAAAACCAAGACACTGATTCGAGATTTGTATTGGCCGTGATATATCTTAACATCTCCAATACCTACAATCCAAAAAAAGAGTAGAAAAAAAACATCCAGGGCTCATTGGTATCATGGGGAGGGAAGAAACAATCACTCAAAAAGAACAACCCCGGGACGCCGAATTACTCGGGAGAGCAAGTCTGCACAAAACGGGAAAGCGAGACCAAAACCGAGAAAAGAAGAAAGAGAAGGATTTAGACAAATCGAAAGCGCGCAAAATGGCAATTGGGAATATCGCTGGATAAACACTCAACATAAAAATCAGAGGGCCCAGACCCAGATTCAGATTCATCAAAGGCCTAGGCGACCTTGCCACTCCACGCCTTCTTGTGTGCACCATTCCTTCAGGAGAGACCAGCCGAAACGGACCACTTCGATGGGTGGTGTGGCTACACCGAGAGGAAGGAAATATTCACCGGCATAATCCCCCGGTTTGAGAGATATTTTGCCTCGCTCGGCGTAATGGTGAGAGCGCCGGGACCAGGTGGTAGGAAAGTCTCGACTGAGAATATCCTCAGAAAGACCGCGGGAACCATCCAGCCACAACTTCTGCGACTCCTTGTAGTGTTCCAGCAGGCGGCTTTTCAGCTCCACAAATTCCTTGAGGCTCTTCTTGTTCTCGTCTGCTAATACGGTGTTGCCGTCGCTGCCTGGTGTGGGTACTGGGGTATGTTCTCCAGGCAACGGAGTAACGGCGAGACGTTCAAGGTCCAATGCGTGAATAGTATCGTAGGAAACTGCACCTAGGAGCTGGCATAAATTATGCAAGGCCGGAAAGGAGAAACTGTTTTTCTTGACGGCGCGCCAATAGGGTATAATGGAACGCCAGGCGGATGAGTCTCCCCCTTGTCGAACGAGGGCTTTCCCTTGGTCGTCGGCCACGAAAGCGAGAACGAAGCACATGATCGCCTCCATAGCAGTCACGACGGCCAATTTCTCATCGGTAGCGGAGGGTCCGTTGTTGTATCGTTCGGCGGCATGTTTCAAGTCTCGACCGATTCTGGTGAAATTCCTGAAGTCTTCCTGCCAGGCCCTTCGCTCCTGGTCTCGTCGGTCGTGATTGCGGGAGCGATTCTCTGGTTGTGAGGGTGATCCTTTGCTGCCTGGGTCGACTGAGAGACGTTTGGTGGCCAGGTTGACGGGTGTCCTGCTTTCGCCTTCTGCAAGATCATTGCGGCGGCCTCCATAGCCCTTGAGGTCTTTGACGGGTGTTAAGGAGGTCGTCTTGACTTTTTCGGGAGCGGGTGGGTGAGGCTTTTCAACTGATGGTCTCGGTTCCTTCACGCGGGGATTGTTACCGCTAGGACCAGGTGTCGATTCACCGGCCTCGGGCTTGGTCTTGGGCTTGACTCGATCAGACGGTGGATTTGCACGAGTTGGCCCTGAGTCCTTCCTCCGTTCGACAAGGGGAGTCTCCTCCATCTCCGTGTCTTGACCTGACGGCGAATCCGCCCGGTGGGCTTTCCTTTTACCGGGGAATTTGAGCAGACTGTCAACTCGTTTTCGGTTCATCTTTCCATAGCGCAATTTCACAATCAGACTTGACCGGGAGGAGTGGGAGGAATCCTTTGCCAAAATGCCCGCACGGCTGCTTTGTAGACTCGAGTTGCTGCTGTTATTCACGGACGTAGGAGTTCGAGAGTGGCCTGTATCGTCCCGCCTCGGCTTGGCAACTGGATTGTCACGCTTCGGGGAGCTTTGGCCGGGCGAATTCTCCTTTTCCTTGAGCTGTGCCAATTCCTTTTCAATCTCCGGGGGTAGAGTCGGAGATAATAACCGCGGTAGTCGGGGTCCCGAGCTGACCTCCGGGGCGGGCGAGGGAGGAAGTGTTGGGGAGAGGAGCCTTGGGAGTATTTTAGCAGCTGTGACTTCTTTGCGCGACTCTTTCTCGGGCGATAATCGCGGTTTCTTGGAAGAATGCATGCTTGATTCCTTGGTCGCGTGTGAATTCCCTTGCTCGGTATCTGTGGTCGGGGGCCGCTTCTTGGCTGTTTTTTCTGGAGAGAGGTCTGGGCGTGGTTTCGCGGGATTTTGAGGCTTCGGTTCAGGCTTCTCAAGCTTCTCGTGCTTCTCGTGCTTGTCGTGGTGCTTCTTTACAGGGTCGGGGTTCGGTGCGCGTGGTGTGTTGTCGCGCCGGTCCGAGTTGGAACGGTCCCGGCCCTTCTGATCATGAATTGCCGGTGATGGGGACGGGGCAGCTCCAGTGGTTTTCTGATTCTTGTAGTCGTTCAAGCTAATCTTCTTCTTGGCCACAGTTTCTCGGGGCTTGTGCTCGGTGGTCGTCCTCGGGCCGGGAGGTTGATCCAACATCATGCGACCCGACTCGTCGGACCAATCGCCAACCGCTACTAGCAAGGAATCTGTGTCGTGGTGTGTCAAAAAGGTCATATACTGAAGTTCCTGCTCGTCCTGGCGGAAGGGACGGTCATGTCCCACGGCCCAATTGCTGTTGGCGGAGCGGGATCCGAGACGATACGGCGCATTCGTTGGGAGGGTGAGGAGGTAAGGATGAAGGGGGAGTACGTCGTCGGAGAGGCGCTTCAATCGCTGGTTCAGAATGTCCAGATCGGATGCAGGGGGTTGGCTCGAGAGCTGGGAGAGTGAAGTATCCGCGGAGGGGGGCTGATCGTTCACCGACATCGCAGTCCGCGGGGGATATGAAGGGATTCGTGAACCATGGATCAGAATGCGCGCGCACGGGCCAGAAGAGAGGGAGGTTGTTGATGTGAAGTTGGAGATGTTGAGTGAGTCGAGGACCTTGAATGGCCGAGTGGTGGTGGATTTGGAGAGTATGCGCCGGAAGTAAGAAGAGGAATCGGGTGCGGGTCCAAACACATCGAGGCGAGGGTGCGCGTGAGAGAGAGAGAGAGTAAAAGAGGCACAGAGCGGGTCAACAAGCACCGCTAGAGAGCCTCTAAGGCATTATTGCTCTGTGAAAATGATATATAGGGAATAAAGAGTGATGAAGTTAGAGAGTAGAAGCTTGTCAAGCAATCAGTTGCCTGTTTGAAAGGGGCCGAGGAGGAAAGAAGTTGGAGATGGGAGGAACTTTGAAGTCTCAATGAAGACTGGAACAAGTCTCAGCTGCCCGCCTCGCCGCTTTTTAGTGTTTAGAGCAACACCCAACACTTTGATTTACTATAGTTAATACTATAGTCCTACTATCTCATAGTTACAGTCTAATGAATGTTCGACCTATACTTAGTCCTATCCATAGCAAACACTAGAAGCTCCCTCCTTTGTTATGATTAAGATCACAGCTGCATCACCATGTGATTGTATAGGGTTACAACCACAGCTATACAAATCACAATCCTAAGAGTGCCTTATACAATCTCTACCAGCAAGAAACAAAGAAAATCATTGCTGGAGAGCAATTTCAAAATATCCCTGGGAGCCAACTCGAACATGTACTCTTCTTTTTGATCCACCCACGGACACCCCACCCCATTGTATATAGATGATCTACACATATACCCTATTTACACACAAATACCCCATATATCCCACAGTTTCCCCCTATCTCCTACTCATGACCGATCATCCTCACCAAAGTTCTCCCGCCAAAAAGCCCGGAAATGGTGTTGCTGTCCCACCTCCGAAATCTCCTCCACCTCCTTCGGGGTCAAGTTAAAGGTCAACACCCGCAAGTAACTAGCCAAACGAGTTTCCTTGCTACTAGTAGTGATTGAAATCACCCCTTGTTCCAAACACCAGCGCAACAAGATCTCGCCAGGGTTGACCGCATACTTGGTAGCCAGACCCGACAACAGAGAATCCAATGGGCCACCAGCGGCACGAGTGACCGGCGTTAGGCCACTATAGCTGACAGTCTTGATACCCTTGCTTTCTTGCCAGGGCACCAGGTTGCCGTGCTGGAGATACGGGTGGTACTCGATCTGGTTCACGGCCGGAATGACCTTTGCAGTTTCCAGAACTGTTTCCAAATGGCTTTGCAGGAAGTTGGACACTCCAATAGACCGGGCTTTACCTGAGGCCTTGACCTGTTCCATAGCAGCCCAGGCAGATTGTAGTTGCTCCTTAGTCTGGGCAAAGAAAGGTTGGTGAATCAGGTACCTGAATAGGGGTCAATTATGAGGTCTGAGACGCAATATAGCAATGCCGAGGCAAAGTCCCATTAACCATTTGGGGGGGGGGGGGGGGGGGGGGAAACATACAAGTCCACATAATCCACCTGAAGCTTTTTCAGACTGGCATCCAGTGCAGCAGGAATATCGGCTATATTTTTGTTCACTTTGGTCGTGACAAACAGCTGCTCCCGTGGGATGCCAGATTCCCTAATGGCCTGGCCAAGTTCTCCCTCGGTACGGTAGACTTCAGCTCCATCGAGGTGATAATATCCCAGCTTCACGGCGTTCTTGGCCGAGTCTACCAGGTCGCGATTCAGGTCGGAATCAGTCTTTTTGAACCATGCGGTGCCGGTGCCATAGCCGAGCTAGTGGGGTAGAGGGGGTTGATGTTAGTATGCCAAATAGATAAAACAGCATAGAATGATAGCACAGGGAAGGAATTGCAGCGTATATCATAGAAGACATGGAATATGAATGCTAGTACTTACTACGGGAATCGATGAACCATCGTTGAGCTTGGTGGACGGAATAGAACGGGAGGTAGCCATGGCTATGTACAGAGAGTATAGTAGGAAGTTGAGGAGTTACAGAGTCGAGGTTGGTAATTGGAGAAGTGGGACATGGACAGACTTAAGTATCCAATAACTTGAATCCTGATTTAAACTCTCTAACTCCATCTCGTCTACATTTTCCCCATTGTGCCCGTCCGGAAGCGGGTCAGTTCCGCCAGAAGAGAACCTCCATAAGGGAAGCCTTTCTCCTTACAGATAGTCGGATAAGAAGAATCTCCCATAACCGAGTTAGCCAGAAATGCCGATACACTTACCCATTCTGGATAACTTGAATATATGATGATATCCCAGATCAATACCGACTTAGTAGTTGTACTTTACCCACGGGCCAGACGAGTCGCGATTAATAATTCACATGATGTCATCCGCGCCGCCCTGACGCGACTGAAGTTTATCAGATTCATTCCAATTAACTACTGCATATACTGTACACTTACTCCCTAGTCAGGAAAGTGACTCACCAAATTCGACATCTCTATGCCCGCAATTCCAGCTCGTATCCTACGCGCCTGCACCGGTCGATCTCTGTACATGTCCACCACCACATCACTCAATTCCCAAACACGGATCCGACTGGGCCAAATGGAGTCCCATCTCTCCACCAGCAGTAACAACAACACCACCAGTCCCAGTACTACTCCGCCCGGGACAATGTCTCTTGCAGACTTGCCGAAATCCAATGTCTTCACCTCCAAATTGCCGGCAGACCCGGCATTCGAGACCCCCGAGGCTTCCCACAAAGCCCCGCGGCAGACGCTGGGCCCCCGCATGGTGAAGGGCGCACTCTTCACCTATGTCCGGCCGGAAGTCGTTGAGTCGCCGGAGTTGCTCGGCGTGAGTCCGAGGGCGATGGCTGATTTGGGCCTCAAGCCTGGCGAGGAACAGACCCCGTCTTTTCAGGCATTGGTGGCGGGTAATGAATTCGCCTGGTCCGAGGAGAAGGGGGGTGTTTACCCGTGGGCGCAGTGCTATGGAGGTTTGTTTTTCACTGCATTCACAAAAGAAACTAAATATTGAAAACTAACCATTATCTATGTACGGACAGGCTGGCAATTGTAAGAAGTGACCCTGCATCTATTTTATCTCTCAACAACCTCCGCGGGGAAAAACTAACAACTACCAGTGGCTCATGGGCGGGGCAATTGGGAGACGGGGTAAGCTATCTTCTCCTAGACTGAAAGAGCACCAAAAGAGATTGAACATGGCTAATCTACTTATAGCGGGCAATCAGTCTCTTTGAAACCACTAACCCTCAGACCAAGAAGAGATATGAACTCCAACTAAAAGGAGCCGGAAAAACGCCCTATTCACGGTTCGCCGACGGCAAGGCAGTCCTTCGCTCTAGCATCCGTGAATACATCGTCTCAGAAGGTATGTTTCGACCAAAACCCGTAGCCCCCTCACTCTTCTGCAGTATGTGCATTTGCTAAGACATCATGTAGCCCTTAATGCCTTAGGTGTGCCCACCACCCGCGCACTGTCCTTGACTCTACTTCCAAAATCCCAGGTACTGCGCGAACGCCTCGAGCCCGGCGCCATCGTCGCCCGATTCGCCGAAAGCTGGCTACGAATCGGCACATTCGATCTCCTCCGGGCCCGTGGTGAACGCGACCTGATCCGGCAACTCTCCACCTTCATCGCCGAAGATGTCTTTGGCGGCTGGGAAACCCTACCCGCGGCAATCTCAGTAGGTGAAGGACAGACAGCCGCCGAGATGGACAATCCACCCCGTGGCATCAGCCGCGACGAAGTCCAGACCCAACAGGGCGTCGACGAGAATCGATTCGCGCGGTTATACCGGGAGATAGTGCGGCGGAATGCAAAGACCGTGGCTGCATGGCAAGCATACGGGTTCATGAACGGCGTGCTCAACACGGACAACACGTCTATTTACGGGTTATCTCTGGACTACGGTCCATTCGCGTTCATGGACAATTTCGACCCGCAATACACGCCGAACCACGACGACCATATGCTACGCTACTCGTACAAGAACCAACCCAGCATTATCTGGTGGAATCTCGTTCGACTGGGCGAGTCACTAGGCGAACTCCTCGGCGCGGGCAATAAAGTCGACGACGAGAAATTCATCAAAGACGGTGTCAGCGAAGACATGGAAGCGGAACTAATCAAACGAGCCGAAACGGTCATCGAGCGAACGGGCGAAGAATTCAAGACCGTTTTCCTGAACGAGTACAAGCGTTTGATGTGTCGACGTCTAGGATTGAAGACGGAACAAGAATCTGATTTCCAGAAACTTTTCTCCGAGATGTTGGATACACTTGAAGCGTTGGAATTAGATTTCAATCATTTCTTCCGTCGATTGTCTAACTTGTCTCTGTCGGAGTTGGATACCGAGGAGAAGCGGGTTGCTGCAGCATCGGTGTTCTTCCATGCCGAGGGTTTCGGGGGAATTGGGTATACCGATGAATCAGCCCGAGCTCGCATTGCCAAATGGCTGGAGAGCTGGCGTGCTCGTGTAATCGAGGACTGGGGCAATGATGGAGATAACGAGAGACAAACTACTATGAAGGCCGTCAATCCTAACGTGAGATCCCTTTTCCTTTCCCTCCAAAGATCTACTACCCTTGTCCCCCATTGAAGTTCCACGAACGTGAACACTAATATATTCCATCAAACGCACAGTTCGTACCCCGAGGCTGGATTCTAGACGAAGTCATCGACAGAGTCGAGAAGAAGGGTGACCGGGCTCTTCTGGGACGAGTGATGCAGATGAGTCTGAACCCATTCAATGAGGAATGGGGACTGAATAAGGCCGAGGAAGAGCGATTCTGCGGGGATGTGCCCAAGTACAAGAGAGCTATGATGTGTAGCTGCAGTTCCTAATGGGGTTATGATGATGATGCCTCAGCACCATCACAGAATTTGAGAACTTGCTATCTCGTTGTAAATAGTGTCAAGATTGAATATCATGTACATACATACTATACTCGAATGGGGACTTTCCACCCTTCAGTGGTCTACATCCTACAAGCACTACGAGAAAGACAATTATGGAGAGTCGTAGCCATGCATTTTCCCCATGCACCTAAGTAATCTCCCGTAACTCGCCCAGAGAAAGATCAAAATTCCATGCATACCCCATTTTTTATTTGTGCAGACCGAAAATCACACCACCACCACTGCAACTTCACTTCACATTTTCATCTTCACCATTCCACGCGAGGAAAGCCCGGTAGACACGGAAAGTAAAGAACCAGAACAGAAACAACCCCCGTCAAACCCCGGATCCAGATGAATAGATCCCGACTAGACAGCAGGGCAAGGAAGGGCAGATAAGAGTAGAGAAAGAAATTCAAGGCCCCCCAAGAAAATGCAAAGGAAAAAAGAAAAGACCCATGGTCGTGATTCAAGCCGTGAGTGATAATACAAAGTCAAATAAAACCCGAGGGGAAATAGACATCTCAAATCGTGGCGCATGCAAGAAAAAGGGTTAAACAGAAAGAGGAAAAAGTAATCATCCGTTTTTTTGGTTCTGGCACTCCTATATCCCGAGGAGGACAGGACGAAAGAAGAAAAAAGACGTTGCAAGTTCCAGCAAGGATATTGGGAGGAGGTTGAGGTTTTTAGTTGGGGCAGGCGGCCTGGACGTGGCCGGGCTGCTTGCACTTGTAGCAAACACGCTCACCACGGGCCTCGGTGGAGCAGTCGCGAGAGACGTGGCCGACCTCACCACCTGTAGAAGAAGAAAAGAGGTTAGTTTTATGTTGAACTCGGCTTCAGTCGAAAGAGAAAAAGGGTATACTAACAGTTGTAGCACTTCTGGCCCTGGGTGCAGTCACGGGCCATGTGGCCGAATCCACCGCAGGAGTAGCAGGTCTGGGGACGGCCAGAGCCATAGGAGGAGTAGCCACCACCACCACCACCAGCGTAGTTACCACCACCCTGGGAGCAGTTGCGGGCAATGTGGCCGACCTGGCCGCACTTGTAGCACTCCTGGCCACCACCGGAAGCACCGCCACCGTAGCTGGCACCGCCGCCCTGGGGGCACTCGCGAGACAGGTGACCGGTCTGGCCACAGCGGTAGCAGGTGCGCTCCTTGGGAGGCTCGGGGCACTCGCGGTCTGGAGAGGTGGGGGTGGTTAGTTGGGGACTGAACTGAAGTCATGTCGATGACGCGCGATAGGCGTAGAGGGTAGAGGTCGTTTCGATGGGTTACTTACTGACGTGGCCCTCACCACCGCAGTTGTAGCTATACACGAATGACAATTAGTTCGGCGATTCCCATGAATGATGTTGGCGGGGCATGATAAAATCAGGGACTTACCAAGTGGGGGTTCCCTTCTTGGGGCAGTCCTTGGCCTAAACGTCACATTGTGTCAGTTTTCAAGTTCATGATCTTTTTCCAAGAAAAGGAAAAAGCGAAGCAAGATTCTTCCAGTGATACAGAAGACTCTCAATGAGCCCTCTGCTCTCTGGAGTATCCCAAGCGAAGAGGACACGGCATCTTTACCTGGTGGGAGGCGTCACCGCCTAACGGAAAAGAAAAAAATGTCAGTCAAAAAAATCAAAAAAAATCGAGGCGCCGCGATCAAATCGCGACCAATAGACGATAAGCAGGGGAAATATAAAAGACTGAGCCCGCAAAATGCAAAGCTTAGTGCAGTTATATTGGGAAATTGACAACGCAGCTCACAGCAGGGACTGCGCTCACGAGTTCAAGAGACGATCGGAAGATGGTCCCTTGACTCGTGAACCCAGTGTGCGTGTCATAGGCGAGTCGAGGAAATGATGGAGGGACTCAGAACGTACAGTTGTAGCAGGCACGAGAACGGGGGTCCATTTTGGCTGATGGGGGGGGTATAAATATCGTAGAAGATGGAAAAAAAAAGAGGTTGGATTGGAATAAGAGGTGAGGAGGTGGGATGAGGGGAGGTTTTTTTTTAGGCCAGGAAGCGGGATTGAACAGGCGAAATTTGTAGTGGGGGGGGAAAGGAACAAGGCGGGAAGTTTTCTCCCCTCAGCTCTCAGGCAACTTTTCACATTCGCCAGTTGGATACTCTCAGTCTCCCTTGAACACCAAGACACAACCACAACAGTCTGAGAGAATTTTCAATTCATCACTCTCTTCAGAACCTTTCTGAGACTCGCCGAGACTGGCTGAGACTCGTCTGAGATCTTTCATGAACTCCATAAAAGCCCTTTGCAGGAGATGAGTCTCGCCAAAGGGTATGCGCCCTGGTATTTGGGCAGGTTTCACTCTGCATTCTTCATACATGCGGAAGACTAAGCTTCCCATATTTCAACAATACATTCATTCATGACGCCAACCAGTATCTCCTCCTCATGCATCATCCGAGATGAACCCTTAGACAGGGCTCACAGCAAAGACCAAGATTCAACGGTCGCTTTGAACAGTTTGTCCGCCAGGACGGGGTTCCAGTCCATGGAAGGCTTGCGCTGCCCAAGCTGTAGGTCAGTTGATCCTGGTAAGTCAGCTCCTCTGGATATTTCCTGCTCAACGAGCATCTTCAATTGCGCTGCGAGACCCCTAGCGCCTTATTGTCCGGAGAAGAGCTCGTCATGCCGGCCAACCATCAGAACCGTAGCGAGACCGGCTCCTATGCCAGTAAATCCATTTCGGAATGGAATCCAAGAGGCCCGAAAGTTGGAACTTCAAAATCGCAACCTAAAGAAAAGATTGGGGCGACGGCACATTTATAGCTGGGCAAGAGATCCGCCAGGGTCCCCAGCTGTTCTCGCGGGGCAAGTACCTTGTGCTACGTACGGGGCTTGCGCGACCGGGTCCTTTTGCCCCTGCGTTAGCGCCCCAATCCCAGCCAAGATGCCGTGATGCGGACCCAATCGCCGTGAGAGGGGACTTGGCCAGTCTTGGGACTCGATCGAGATCGTCGAAACATGGTCAATTATTGATGGACCTCCCGCCAAGACCTCTAAACTACATCGAAGAGGTCTTTTCCAATGAGAGCTACGTGAAATCGTAACATTCCAGTAGCTGCGTGCCAACGGTCTTCTCCCGGAGCAAAAGGACTCGCTCTTCATCAAATCCAACGCATCCGTGCATGACAGACACATCATCGAGTGCACCGTCAAGTCCCGAATCGCTCATATCCCCGCGAAGACTTTGAGGTGCAGAGTCAAACTCTGATTCATCTCGATCTTTGTTCTCCGGGTTGACTTGGATGCTGTTATCTTCTTGCAATAATTGCCGGCTGCCGAGAGAGCGCACTGCAGGTTCCAGCTCCCAGATGCGAATCTCGTCACCACGAGAACTCACAGAAACTGCTTTACCCCGGTTGGTCACTTGTACGGCAGACACGGAAGACGTATGCCCCCAAAGTCGCTGACCACCGCGGACATAGAGACGCCGAGAGTCAGATACCAGTAGGTACATGGTCAAAGTATTGTCCGCATGCGAGGTGAGCAGATAGGGATGAGAGTAGGACATGGAGGTTGGCGGGTGTGGATGCATAATTGAGGGCGCTACGGGGGCTGCAGTAATATGGCCATCACTTGCGTCGGTCCCCGTGGAATGCCGTCGTATACGCGAGGATGTCCGACCTCGTGGTTGCGTGGTCCCGTACTGGGAATCGACCGTACTGGCCAGCCGGGATTCCACCTGCTCACCATCTGGATTGAACCGCAGCTCTTGAATGCCCAAAGACCATCCACAGCCAATGTGGTAGAAACTGTATACAATCGTAGCCACAATTTCCAAGCCAGATGTGCGGAGAGAAAGCGTCATCGGTGCCACCATATTGGCTGCGTTGAGAGAAGCCAATTTCCGCAGGTTTTTACTTTCGTCTATGTTCCCCGAAACGTGAGACGAGACTCGCAGATTGTACAATGAAAGGCTCTTGTGTTGAGAGACAATCAAGAGATATGGCGAGGATAAAGCAACGGCCGTGATGGCGCCGTCCTTGAATCCAATGTGACTAGATTGGAGGTATAGTCGCGAAGTTTCCATATCGAAGACATAGCGATTGAAGTGGCCATCATCGAATCCAACCACAATTTCCTGTTCATCATCTAGCTGGCTCACCGCTAACGCAGTTGGACAGACTGCAGTCTCGTCTATTTCCTTTGGAAAAGGAATACTTGCCAGGCAGTATGCCGGATCCTTTGCACACCATGCCCGAAGCCCATGCGCCTGATCAGCTGTGAAAACAACCCCGGCACAAAGCTTGACCAACACAGGAGGCGCCGGGGGCCGGGGGAACTCGACTTCGGTTACCCGACAGACTCCCGTGGACCAATTGTGCCGAAGACGATATTGCCCTTTCCAATTGGTGGCCTTCCCTTCCTCGGCCAGGTGACTGTGATCAAACCATGTCGAGACTTTTGGCGTGTACTCTACCCTCGGTGGTAGTGAAGAGCGAGTGACATTGGCCAAGCGACGAGCTCGAGGGCGAACCCATTGCGAATAGTACTGTCTTTTCCAAAGCTCCGAATCGCCGGCGAGAGTGTGGAATCGATGGGATAATCTAGTTTTGGATATGAGTAAAATGCGCGAGTATTTATAATCAATTCTTAATCTCGAACCTTTGGCACACATTCAACGACGAAATTGGGAGAAATGACAAGATATGGAGGAGTAGTTCATCGCTTAGGGAAGATAGCCGGTCGAGCGGGGAGGTCACAGTATCACGATACCTCTTGGTAGGGGGTAGATCGAGCTGTATATCATCTCTCCGGCGCTTGGACATGCTGCTGAAAAGCCTTTAATCGCATCAAGTGGACATGACCTGCGGTGGCTGTGAGGCGAATACACAATGGTGGAAAGCTGCTGATGCTTCGTCAGAGGGCCCCTTATCAGTGACCGATAAGCAAGTGTTAAAAGGGCGGTGTATAAAAGCGGTGTGTATACTGCCCGTTTGACGCGTGCTACTCGAGTCGCGTTTTACGGATTAATTTGTCTTCTTCTCCACGAAACTCGATGGAGGCTCTAAAGGACTTGCATACCTCTCTTGTAGAGGCATGTGAGGTATCCTTTAGAAATGCCCATAAAGAGCTTGAGACTGAACTGGCTGCTCGAGATGCACGTATTCACGAAGCCGAACGGAACGTATCAAATGCTCTCCAGGCTCAGCAGGCCGCCGAGCAAAAGGTCGAAGAGCTTCAGCGTGAAGTGTCTGCGCTGCGAAATGAGCTAAGTACTTACAATGCGGATCCAAAAGATGTCGAATTGCCGACTGGAATAAGCAACCTGGAGAGAGAATTCGCACCCAAGAACATTTGGAGGACCGATCTACTTGAGGCAGATCAATTACGTGATATCCTCGAAGACAAATACACGACGCTCTATACCGATCTGCAAGCATTTAGCCGGAGCTGGGGTGGTCTCAAATCAAAACTGCTTCAGCACAAGAAGAAGTTGCAGCTTTGGGACAAACAATTGAACAAGGACTCGTTCACGATCCTTCTGGACAAGGGTCCAGTGACATTCCAGAGGGTGTCGGACAATACTCAAGTCTCAGGACTGGTCTCCAATACTGGCACACCTGCCCCGAATGTGGAAAGTCGAACGGATGCAAACCCTTACATCAAAACCGAAGAATGCAGCCAACAAATAGCTGCCCCCAATCAGCTTATGAGTACAGCTACCCAGAACACCGCCACTAGTGATGTTCTCTCGTCGGAGTCCAATTCAGACGTACTGCCCCCTCTGCCCAACATCCAGACGAAAAAGCGAAAGCGGGTCCTTCCCTCTGCTCAAGAGCCGAGACTTGGTGCCCCCGAGAGACCGGTACTTGTCAAGGCCGAGACAATGTCATCAAGTCCAATGCACCATGGAGTAACTCTTGGATCCGGTCCGAATTTCCCCAGCACCCAAGATTTAGATGAGATCGGTGGTACTGTGCCGACACCTACGAAAAGGCATGCTCACCGAGAGGTCCACTGGGAAGATGGAGGCGAGGAATCAGCCCCCGGCACGCGAAATGCCATTACAGATCGCGAAATTCAGCATCAAAATGTGCTCCAGCCAGTTGATGGGAATTTACGATCAATTAGATCTTGGGGGAAACAACCCGAGTTGCAAAAGCCGAAGTCTTCAACTATCCAAGCCCTTCTCATGGCAGAAGATGGTGATTGTGGTGATGACCAGGATCAGTCCCGAAAGAAGCGCGCAAAGAGTGCGGCGGCCGTCCGGAATGAGTTCCCTAGCGCCGTTCGGAATCGTTTGCAAGGTCTTCTAGAAGGATCATTGCCATCTAAATCGCCCCTTCGTTCTCCTAGAAACGTTTTGACCCGCGTTCAGGACGAAGGTGGGAATTTCGACATACGTCAAAAGAGCATGACCACCAAGTCTGCATCTCCCCATGCACGACCAGAGCCAGTCGAACAGCCATCTCAAATAGGCCCAGAGGGGGTACCGGAAGAAGAACCATACCGATCCCGACCTCTCCACCGTCTAAACCTCGATCATTTCAAAATCAATCCCACCAGAAATCAAGGCCTCGACTACGCATACGACACAGTTGTCCGTAAGAAGGATGACCGAAAATGCATGTCCGGCTGTACACGCCCCGGCTGCTGTGGAGATCGATTTCGCGCCATGGCTCGCATGGCAGTGCAAGGTACCACCATCTCCGCCGAGCAGAAGGAGGAAGACCAGCGGATTCTCGAAGAGTACGTTGGTGAGGACCAACATTTGCTTGATGGGTTGAATGACAAGGACCGCAAGAATCTACTTGTGGAAGCTCGAGCACGAGCCCTTGCCAATCAATATGGAAGGCATCGACATACTCACCAACGAGCTCGGAGTCCACCTGGATTCTGGCGAACTGAGATGCCGTCTACGCAAGAAATTGAGAAAGATCGCGAAGATGCGAGGAGGATGGAGCGGGAGAAGGTCGAGGAGCGATATCGAGAGGCTATGCGACCTGGAGGGCTTTGGACTTGGGCTGATGAGTGATTGTTATGTACTATGTGATATGGAGATATGAACGAATGTGAACGGAATCGTGCGAAGCACATGAAAAGTAACTTAATGTGAATCGAAAGAACTATGAAAACGATATAGGCTAACAGGTAGAGGAAATGCAGTGAACAAGGAGTTGCAGGGTAAATTGTAACATCATATCATGAAAAAACACAAAGCAAAGAGAATCAACATTGTTGTTTATCAAGTTAAGCTCAGGACTACCGAGTCTATCTACGGAGTCCTCCGTCGGCCGCAAGCAACCTCGGCCCCCGAGGGCTTGGCAGTGCCTCGTGACCTCCCTTACTTCCGCCAACCTTCTCCCCCGGACTTTGCGAACACTCCGCATTGAACCGGTCGCATCGTGCAGGACCATGGAGACCGTTCGCAACATCCAGAATCCCATCCCTCCGGTGGTGCTACAGCCATCCAAGTGGCTGTCACTCTACGAGGATTTTGTCGCCAAGAACTCCAGCTCAGTTGGCTCGGTCGAGTCCGCGCTGAGGTCATTGACCTATATCATCCCAGGTAGGATAGATTTCGGGTCCTTTTCACGCGGTCTATTGCTAACATGTCTTTCTTCATCATGTAGGAAGGTATCGCGAATCAGAAATCCCTTCAGAATGTGGTAAGTCGGTGATACCCAGGTGCCCCTATGGCGAAGAGGGGCGCATGTCATCTAAACATCTCATGCAGTGCATTCCGGAGTCCAACTTCTATCGCTTTACCATGATTCCCTTGTGTCGCGAGTCATTTCTCGACTGCCTTCCACGGTCCCTCGACCACCACCTACCCCCCATGCCCGATACACTAAATACTGGACCTCGCGGTCCTCGCTCTACCATCGAGTTGCCGTCGCGCTGCAGATGCTCCAATACACAGAGCTTCTCTGGGAGATGACGGCGCGGCGACGTGGGCAGAAGACCCGATGGCGTGTCGTCGTCTTCCTTGAGTTCGCCAAGGCGATCTGCCGCCTGCTCTTACTTCGATTGACCAACTCGAGACCGTTGGTCAGTCCTCCGTTGCCGGAGCGGGAGGTGGACCCTCGGACGACACAGGGAGAGGAGGAGCAGAGTGACTGGAACGGCATGGAGACTCCCACCAGCGAGCGTTCTACAGACATCAGCTGGACTATGCCTCGCACGGGTCTATCCCTGCCCTCCCTCCCAGACGTCAACGACGTGTCGAACTACCTTATCTCCAAGGTTCTTACTGCGGATGATATCAAGCCACCCAAGACCCTGCTGCACCGCGTCACTGGACAGGGACAGTTGGCAGAGGTCCTGTACATCCTGCGACCAGTGGTCTATGCACTGGCTATGCAGCGATGGAGTGGAGACCGGCGCAGCTGGCGGCCATGGTTGATTGGCTTCGGTATGGAATATGGTTGCCGACAGCTTGCCAAGCGCGACTTCCGGGAGCGAGTTGCGGGTGGTCTCCGTGGCTTGACTGGACTCGAGCGAGAGGAACTGAGGAAGCGTGGATGGTCTATGGGCTGGTGGTTGTTGCGAGGTGCCTTCTACGAGAACATCACAAAGTGCGTATTCAGAAGCAAAGTGTCACCGCTAGTTGCCAGAAAGCTAACGAATTACAGATCATGGTTGCACAGTATGACCGGCAAGATGAAGGGCAAGCCGCTTTTGGATATGGTGGGCAGTGTTGTCGAGGACTACGAGTATCTTTGGGACAACTACTACTTCTCGACTGCCACCCTGTGATTTCTCATGCCCGGACTATCCTTTCACTTTCTCCTCATGATACCCAGCTTTTTACTACACCACTACATGACTTGATTCCAACGACACTTGGCGTGATTGGACGTCTTTCCTTTTGTTCAGATCGTATTGTATTGCCTTGGATATGCCTGATAGGGTATCATCATTGTTATATATTAGCTTCATCACGCCTTTAATCCCATGCCAACCCAATGCATCGCATCATATAATCTCTGCTTGTCGTTGTCCAAACCAGTCTCTTAACCCGTCCTTGCTCGAGCTTTTCCCAGGCCCAGACGCTAGAAGGAAGTCACTCAGCATGCCATTCCCCTCGTCGTCATCCGCAGGCCAATCTACTCGTGCTCCGCCCTTCTGCTCGAGCATCTCCTTCGCAGTACCCCAGCTGAAGCGACACTCGCTACCCCAACCAAATACAGGATCCATATTCCGTCGGAGCCAGCCGACACACTTGGAATCCGAAGGGTAGCCACTACCCCAACCCTCGGGGGCCATGGAGGCGTCGTCGAGCTGTTGCGCCTTGAGCACAGACTCGTACAAGACTTCCAAAGCGACATCACGCGTCACTTTAGCAGCCACACTGGCAGCACTCACACACGGATACAAAGAATCCGCCTTCTTCGCCACGGTGATTTTAATCGACGGGAAGATCTTCTCGAGTTTGGCCTGGTATGTAGCAGGATTGCCAATTGTATCGATATATATCTCCTGTACATTGACAGCATGGTCTTGTAGGACGCCGCGAATAATCTCGATTGTCGCATCCATGGCTTGCGCATTGAGATTATACACTGCAGTGCCTGGTTTCATCATGCCTGAACCGATATCACGCGCGGAAAGAACCTTAATTGCATATCCACAGGACTCGTATAGGTTCTCGCCGGGGGTATTGATCAAGCGCATCAAATTGGCGCGCACGGCAGGTGTGAGGACTTTGCTGTCGTCGAAGCTGTGCTCTTGCGCCAGGAGGGAATGGTGTAGCTCAAGAGGGAGATAGAACGCGCCGTAGACCATGGGGCCCAAGACTGGACCGCGACCGGCCTCGTCAACACCCAGCACACATGGTGTAGGCTCTGTTGTCTGTGGAGTTGTGGAGGACTTGTCGTAAGGTGTAATTCCGGCCGGGCAGGGCGTGTAGTAGGCGTAGGAATCTCCCGAGAGTAGACGAGCATGATCTATACTGGGGGGAATAAAGGACATGGCGTCATCAGATGCATCGATAACGGTGCCCTTGCCCATATTGATTGAGCAATGCACAAATGAAATGAGAGTGTGAGTTTAGAGGATAATCCCATTGAAGAGCGTCCCAAAAGTATGTCGACGCGTCGACCATTCGGGCTTAGCGGCGGGCGCGCGTTTCTCCCCCAAATTCCACCGCATCATTCCATCTTTCCCCTCTCCTCCACCCGCGCTGATTTACGGACTTTTTTATCTTTTGTTCCTTGCAAAATTACTACAGAACACACTACTTTGTTCAGTTCTGGTCGCTTAACCTCTGTTCAAAATGGCGCGTGGTTCCACGAAGCCCCGCGATCTCGACTTCTCCAATGTCGGAACTCAAGGAAGGTAAGTCGCGCCTCGTGGTTGCTAGCGCTTGCATGAAAGGGTTGCTGTATGCTGACGCAAATGATGCGCTTAGACGGACGGGTCTCACGATGGAGGAAAGAGAGCGCGACGAGTATGGAATGGAGGAAGTAGACGGTCTATTCTCGTCTCCTGAGAAATCGCCGGCGAGACTGAATGGGTTCTCCCATGCAGACGACGACACTGCCAGCTCTGAGATGTCTATTGAAGACGGTAAGCTTCCTACTGGCTATGCGCGCCGGTTTAATACCAATTGATGACTGACAGTGTCATTCTTCTACGTGATCAGATAATGCGCCGGGACCTATGGATTTTCTCAGCGCTTCAAATAACGCGCGCAATACCTTTGCGGCATCTCGATCCCCTGCGAAAGCCCCTCGAAGATCCCCTGTCTTGCGATCTTCCCCGGACGATAGGGAAGATCTTGTGGCGTCTAGTCCGTCGGATGGCAGACGTCTGTCCTCTGCGCGAGGAGACCCAACTCCCTTGACCAATCGCTCGGTGAATGCAGGTGTGACGAACAAGAATGCTGCGCGACAGAATGGAAAAGCACGACTAGTAGCCACAGAAGCGGCCGACTTTTCTGACGGAGATGGCGAAGGCGACGAAAATGTGGATTCCTTTGCTGCCGGGCGGGATGATTTCAGTGACGGATACGATGAGGGCGACGAGACCGTGATGCCGGAGGAACCTGCAGATGTGAATGGACAAGAAGAGGAGGCGTCTCCAGCACCAGCGGCCCCGCGCCAAACAAAGACGACCGCATCGAGTTCGAAACAGCCGAAAAAGGGACCTGCGGCAAATACAACAAAGGCGACCAAGCCTGCTGCTAAGCCGACCGGGAAACGAGGCCGCGCACCGAAGTCCCAGCAAACTGCAGACAATGAAGAGCCCGTTGAGGCTAGACCAGCCAAGAAACCAAAGACCACAGCCACGGCCTCACAGGCTCTACGGGAGCCCTTGGATCCGGAATTGAAACGAGTGGTCGAAAACTATGCCCAGCGTACTGGCCCATTGAAGGGTCGCAGTCTATATATTCTCAAGCGCGAAGATCCCACCAGCAGCGAGACGACCCACACCCGCTCAGGACGAGTGTCTGTCCGTCCTCTAGCGTACTGGCGCAACGAGCGGTGTGTGTATGGTGATGAAGAGGCTGCTGAGGGAGAACGGTTCCCTCTCTCGAAAATCAAAGAGGTCATTCGCACTGAGGAGCTTGAACCGGAAAGGCCGAAGAAGGGGAAGCGTAGCCGCAAGGGCAAGTCAAAGAAGCAAAAGGATGAGTCCTCGGATGAGGATGAGATTGACGATGATGCGGATCTTTGGGAGAAGGAAACTGGTGTTCTGCATGGCTACGTTTCCAAATGGGACCCTGTGGCACAAACCAGCACAGCCGAGGAGGAAGTAATAGGTATGATATCGCGTATGGTGCTGGGAATTCTTTCGTTGCTAACAAATTCCTGCAGACATCGCGTACGCACCATCTGGTTTCGAGACAAGAGAAGTCAAAGGCGCGTCATTCAAATTCGCAAAACTCCTCAGTTCTTCATTCATCGGCTCCGGTGTTGTTGAGCTTCCACCGGATGGTGTCAAGAAGCCCAAGAATTCAAAGAGAATGCACATGGTGTTCTATGTCTGCTATGGCCGAGTCCAAGTCGATATCTGTGGTGTTCAATTTAGCGCTGGCAAGGGCTCCGTGTTCCAAATTCCACGAGGTGAGTTTACTCCATGATCACACAAACTACTATCCATCTACTAACACTTCTTCTCTTCTGGCAGGCAACTACTACAGTTTCCAAAACTCCCATGACAAAGATGCCCGACTATTCTTCACCCAATGCTGTCTTCCAGAAGGGAGTGAAGTCCCCGTGCCAACAACAGAGAATGCGGTACAAAGCGAGTTCGAAGCTGAAAGCGGTCCATCCGAACCCCCAGCCGCAAAGCCTCGGGGTCGGCCCAAGGGCAAGCAAAAGGCCAAATGAATGCTTTGACTTTGATAGTCTGTTTTTTACTCTGCTGTTGTTTCGAGTCTCGTGTGTCCAGCTGGAGCTGGTGAATGTGCTATGATATCCTTTCTATCTTGTCTTTTCTCTTCTAGCGGGTTGTATTCTTTACTAGGGATTCCAGGTTGTCGGCGTTTCCTGCAGATTTTTTAAATTTGATTTTGATAATCAGTGATGGAAAGAAAGAGTGATGTTTCTGTTTCGTAAATCTGCTATCCCTCTCCGTAGGTTGACTTGTGCTTGTGTAGTGAGTAGTTACGTGATGTATGCTATTGCGAGCCAACTTTGATAACTGTCCGCCTTGATGATGGTTCTTGTTCGATTTTAATGGTTGTCGATGTCATACCGCACCTGGAAGGTGATCATATTGAAGTTGACAAGCTGCAAGTTCCACCGAAGAATCCGGAAAGGTGTTGATTCTTAACCCCTCCTAACTCAATACACAAAGCTCCTCTGGCGATTTCCCTACTAGCAGCGAAGTCCAGTCCACCAAAAAGATAAATTTAGACACAATCCTAAACATTCCCAGATCTATACCCCACACCCCCTCAGATCTCCTCCATCAACTCATCCAACTCATCATCCAAACTCAAAGGAGGAAAATCGCCCACCTCAACCTTCTCAGGTTTCACAAAAGCACCACACTTCTCCAGACACTCAAAGTAACGACGACCACCAACACTACCATCGTTCTTCCCAGTGGGCTCATCCAACTCAATACCAACCCAAATAGGCTGGAGTTCTACGGGAAGCGGACCATTCGCCTCAAGTTCGCGGCCAGGACCGGTAGTCGGGATTGTTGGCACGGGGCCAACGAAGCGGATTGTTCCGCGGCGGATATGTGGTGGGGTTGATGGGAGGATGATGGCTCTTTTGTTGATGGCGATACCTTTTATGAATCATTAGATATATTCAACAACTACACTTATCGAAGAAGGGAGAAGGGAGAAGGAATTTGGAGTTGAGTAAATATGGCCATACCTCGACTAGCAAGCTCAGCCTGATCCTTCTCGACCTGCTTACGCAGTGATTCCTCGGGGGAGAGCGCGTTAGGATCGAAACGGCCTAGTTTCTGGTTTCTTTTCCAGGCTAGGACGGAGTCGGAGAGGGTTTCGTAGGTTTCTGGGTTCATTTCGTACTTGTCGACTGAGGAGAGGTCGGTGAAGTTTGGACGCATGGCTGGTGGGCGGGAGTCGTGGACCTGGTGGTTTGATTAGTAGGGTTCATGATAAAAACTGCTGAAACAAAGCTTCATCTTGATGGTGTGGAATATGTAGTTTCTTATAGCGAAATCAGTTCAGGCAATGACCACCAAGTAGCCAATTCAACCTGGGGGTCCCGAAACAAGACCCCTGCATATCAAAAGCACTGTCACGCTTGTGTCCAGCACTGAGATAACCACCCTTTCCCAGCAACCACAAGATATCCCACCAGAAACCAACCAAAAACCAAACACTAAACAAAACAAAAAAAGAGAAGGAAAAGACCTACCTCAATCTCAGACCCCTTAACAATCCCATAATCCCCAATAAGCTGGGCATCATTATCAGCCCACTGATCCGGTCGACCAGGAACCTTAACACGCAGACGCTGACTACCCGGCGGAACACCGGTCATAGTCTCGAGTTTACTCTTGACCTGCTCGATCGTCCAGGTAGGCGTGATACGGCGCTCGGTCAAGAATCTAGGCTCTGAGTCTGCGGAGCGCGCCGCGGCGGTCGAGGTGATGATGACGGAGACATCTTGTGGAGTTGGCTGGAAAGCCATTTTGATGGTGAGAGTGAGAGTTATGTTGAGAAGATGCTGATGCGAGGCAAAGCAAGGTAATGTTACTCGCTCAGGGGGAGTTCGGGCTTTGTAGCGCCAGAGATATTCCTGGGTGGTTTGTTAGCGGGGTGTTTCAGAGACACAACAAGAGAAGGCCAGAGTAATCAGAAAGGGAGAGATTATATGTAAAGGCAATGTGTCACATGCTTGAGGCCAGGCATTGAAGCTCGAGAGCATCAGTCCAACATTTGATATTGGCATATCAAACTCCACGCATGGCCCCGGGACTCTGTGTGATATCTTTCCCACCATCAAAGCACACGTAGGACACCCACCGTGCAAAACACCCTCGTTTACAAGCAAAGCAGCAGTATACTTACTCAGGCAAAGTGAAGCGAGTGATGGACTGCTGAACACCACTCGCTGGGTATCCAAAATAGGTGCGCTTAGTCAGCCAGCAGTTGGATCCATCGAAGAGGAAAGAAAGAAACGCGTTAACAAGCTAAAATTACCTTCTGGCAATCTGCAGCAGGGTCGGACAGATCTAGATCTGGAATATATGTGCTGCAATTGTACTGGGATATCCTGGGAGAGATGTGGAATGAAATTTCTAGATTTTAGATCTCTTCACATTGGTACTACATACAGAGGGAACAAGGACCGGGGATGTAGGGAGAGAAGTTAGAACAGATGATGTAATTGGATTTCATTGAGAAGATTAGAGAGAACTATATATTTCAAGAAAGTATTTCCCTAGTTTAACCTGATAGATTCCAAGTATATAAACTCTCGACAATAGTAAATACGATAGTTATAATATATCTGTTCCCCCCTCCGCGGGGCAAGAAAAATCCCCGAACCACGTGATCCCTCGCTTGCCTTCCGCCATCAACCAGAAAGAAACCAACTTGATACTCCATATTCCAGTGCCCAAATACACTACTGAATACAGTCAACACCATTTACAGCAACTCCCAATCATGGCAGATCAAGCCGAAGTATACGAGGAGCAGAATGTGCATGAGGTGTATCAGCAGATTGCGGGACATTTTTCAGCTACCCGGTACAAGGTGAGTTGACTGAAAACACTTCCCCGCTGGCTAACTAGCTTAGACAAAAACAGAAGCTAACGAGTCTATTACTGCTTTTTACTTACTAGCCGTGGCCAATTGTTGAGAAATTCCTCCAGGGCTTAACACCGGGTTCTGTTGGACTGGATGTTGGTTGTGGCAATGGCAAGAATCTCCAGGTGAACCGGGATGTGTTCATAGTAGCTTCTGATCGGTACGTACATTTCACACTTATAACTCCTACAGTTTGTTTACGCGTTGGTTACTCTTTGTTTTTGTTTCCAAGGTTATACGAGGGAATTCGTAAATTCGTATATATGGTTCTTATGTATTGTCTTTTTTTTGTTTGTTTTTTATAGTAAAGTTTCTCACTTCACATCACTGGAATGCTCCTCATCTTTCTCATCCACACACACAATCCAATCCACTTCCATGGGAAGGGAAGAACCTCTGGAATCTGCATCCCATGACTAACACAAGTGCCTAGATCCGAAAACCTGGCCAAGATAGCGGTCCAGCATCAACCCCATTCAGCAGTGGTGGCCGATATCCTCCACCTCCCGCACCGGGATGCGCACTTCGACTTTGCCGTCTGCATCGCCGTAGTCCACCACATGTCCACCCCAGCGCGGCGAATCGAAGCCATCGCCGAGATTCTGCGGACCATCAGACGCGGCTCAGACACGCAACCAGGCGGGCGAATCCTGATCTATGCATGGGCACTCGAGCAGAAGAACAGTCGTCGTGGCTGGGATAAGGGAGACTCGCAGGATCTCATGGTGCCGTGGGTGCGCAGGGCTAAGCCTGGCTCTGGCGAAGAGGATCAGACGTTCCACCGGTACTATCATCTGTATGAGAGCGGGGAGTTGGAGCGTGATATTGAGCAGGCGGGAGGAGTGGTGGTGGAGTCCGGGTATGAGAAAGATAATTGGTGGGCGATTGCAACGCACAAGCACGATTCATGATGGCATGGGGAACGGTTCACTTCGGGAGCCAGCCCTTGAAGAACAAGTCCATTGTCACCTGCGCGAAACGTGAGGAATGTGTGGAAGTTGGAGAGGGAGGAGGTCGAGTCGACTATCGTTGTTTCCAAAACAAGAGATTCCCTCTCTCCATATATCCTTTCCAACCCAAATCGACCAAGAAAGAGGGCAATTCTTTCTCGTCGTTCCCTTCTCTCTTTTACCAAAAGAAAAAAAGGAAAAGAAAAATTCTCGCAACAGAAAGATGGGCGCATGGGAGGTGGACACGCAAATTCTCTATACATTTCACGACCTCCCAACAAATCACGGTATACCTCCAACCGGCGCTATGCAATTCGTATCCAAGGGCGGACAAAAACAGAAACCAAAGGAAAAAATAAAAAGAAAAATGGCCGTATGGGCGTGATCATCATCTCGTCTTAGGGCAAAGTTCGCGGAGGCATCCCCATATGCGGGCCCGGGCCCATCAGACCCGGCGGGGGAATTCCCATATCGGGAGGCCGTCCAAGGCCATAGAATTCTCGTGGCGGAGGCGGGGCAGGTGGTGCGTACGCGGGGACACCGGCTGTCAACTCTTCGAGGGAGGGTAATTGTGGTGGAAGGCCGGGCAAATGGCCTGGGATAGCGCGTGAGGTAGAGCTCTTTCGAGGACGAGCTAGAGAGGTACTGGCACGACGGGTTCGAGTGGTAGGTGGATCGATGGCGGTGCTTGATAGTGAGAAAGGTACCACGCCTGCGCGGCGAGCCATCTCTTGCTCTCCCAATTGCCAGTGCATGGCCTCTGCGGCCCGCCATGGGATAGCCATTTCTTCGGCGACCTTGGACCACATCTCTGCTTTGAACCTACTCGTTGCTGTTAGTTTTGAGATGGTTCCTCCGGACATCCGACCACCGGGTTGTGATTTATATCCTATGATCCACACTCCCCAGACGGTCGAGGGTTCATGGCTTACCGTTCATATAATCGAGCCAATTTGTTCTTCTTATCTTCATCCCACTCACTGCGACGTTCCAGATAATTCTGATAGTGAAGACGACAACTGATCGCACTGCGACCTGGCAACCGTTTGCTGATATCCTCCCACTTCATCCCACTGCCCCGCAGCTCGATGATCAGCGCATCCTCCTCGGGCGACCACTTAGATTGCTTTTTAGCGGGTGACTCGGCGGTATGAGCTGGTTGTAGACGCTTTGCCGGAAGACCTGGAGCGGATTTGATCAATGATGGAGCCACAGCCGGCGGGCCTGTCAAGATTGGTGGAGCGGTTGTCAAGATTGGCGCCGCGGGGACTGGTGGAGGGATTGAGAAGCCCGTCCGAGGGGGATAGAGAGGCGTGGGATGAATCCCCGGGGCTTCTTCCTCATCTTGGGGCTTGAGTAGTAGTGAGATATCCACTTTGGCGGGCGGCAAGATAGGCCGATTTTGTAACGCAATCATATGCGCGATGGAAACTGGCGGGTCTTTTCGGGATGGAGAGTAGATAGGCAGGACTTGGCCCCCTTCCAGAAATGAGAAGATCCAGCTGGAGGAGGGGGTAGAGAAGGGGAGAGGGGAGGGGAGAGAGTTGAGGTTGAAAGGGAAGGAAGAGAGAAAGAAAAGGACAGAATGGGGAGAAAAGGAAGGAGCGATAGTGTCGTAGTATAATAGTCGACGATGGAACCCAAAGCTTGCGATCTTAGGGTCAGTCTTTGGATGACGACACTCAACAATCAACAGTTCGTTCCGGATGACCCAGGTCGGTGGATGATAGTCGTTGTAGTAGTATTGCCTTCTTTGTTTTCGTCCTCTTTTTTTACTCTCCAGTTGATCAACCAGCAGCTATTCAAAAAGCCGGATCAACTGTGTATTCGGGGGTTCTTCACAACAGAAACTCAAAAGGACTGGGTCTCGTGCAACGAATGGTGACGTCCAGAGTAGAGCGTGAGGGCGTGGCAGAAAGCGCGGTACAGGTACAGCGAGTACCGTGGAAATGGGGTCACAAAGTACACCGAAAGGCAAAGAAGAGGGGAGGAAAAGAGGAGGGGAGAGAATGGAAAGGACAGGAAGGAAGTCGTAGATGAAGGTAGAACAAAAGGAGGAAGAGGTGGTGATGGTGGTAAGTAAGAGAGGAAGAGGAAAGAGGAAAGTAGAAAGAAGAGTGGGATAGAGACGAGTGTTTCTACAGGAGAGAAGAAGGTCCAGAACCAACAAGATGAAACCCAAACGATCGACGTTGACAAGCAAAGTGGGAACCACCAGAGAGCCTTAGAGTCTTAGACCACGACGGAGTCCCAATCCACTTTTGGGTCCCGATCCCAAGGGAAAAGAGAAAATAAGGTCGGGAAATGGGGTAAAAATAATAGAATCAAATAAGGACAATGACGGACATAAAGGAAATATAATAGACTACTTTTTGTGGTCTGTGAGTCCCAGTCAAAGTTACTCCAAGTTGATTTAGTAGTATCGTATCGAAGATGATAAATTGATACGGGGACAAGAAGCGATCGAAGAAGAATAACAGAGACAGCGAGAGAGAGGAAGAAAGAGAGAGAGAATAGTGGAGTCTAGGGTAGACAGGCAGAGCAATCATTTGAACTTAATTAAATCAGAAATTATGGGATGATTAAAGCATGAAATCATGAAATCATGTTTGTATGTTGAATAATACTTAGTCGAAGTATTATTCCCCCTCCTCTGCCTCCGTAGTAATTTTAATTCCTTCATCAGGAAAAATCCAGTAAAATAAAAATAATAAATAAATAAATAATCCTAAAAAAACTCTATGGAGTCTCTTTCCCTGGAAACCACAGTTGACCATTAATATAACCCTACTGTAGTCTCCATACCCCTGCTCTGCTCTGGCTCTAGCTCTGCCCTAAAGAACAGTAATATCTCCGATCCACTCACCGCTGTCGCTTTTAATTAAAGATTGCTGGCGTGAAGCGGTCAAACCACGTTTGGTCTGTCGGCTTTGCCCTCTCTTTCTCTGTGCCCTCTACAGTCCCGATGTAGTAATAAGTATTACACCTATTACTCTACTACTGTACTATCTTTTTCACTGCGTATACTACTATACAATCACATCACATCTTGATTGCAATCCCGTCTGTGGCGGTCATTGCTTGATTGCTTTCGCCCTTCATTTCCCCCTCCAAGTTTCCCACCAACACGGGTTGTGGAGTCGGGGCACTCCGTCTGAAGAAGAACGGCTCCGAGATTAATCTTGAGATGAGATAGATCCTCATTTACTGAGTGCTTCGTAGTTCGACTACAGTATATTAGCACATAACTGTAGTAGTAACAAAGACAAGCAAGAACCGAGAACTAACAATAATAACAATAATTCGACCTATCGACAAGCATCGACTAACCAAGTTCAGGAAAGAGGGGCCAAAATCAACAACAAAAAGAAGAGAGAGGCCCTAACCCCCAAGAAAAGCCTAGAAATAGTAGGAGCCCAAGAGAGAGAGAGAACCAAACAGAGTAACAGACCCTCTTCCAAAACCGACTCCCCCCGATGAACATGGTTCCCCCCTCCCTTCCTCAGCCGGGCCCCGCATTCATCCTGAAATGAGATTGAGGGATGCGTAACGGGTTACGGGACACTTTAAAGGCACAGCACGGACCAGTCACAAACGTTGGTAACGGGCTGCTCCGGCCCAGACGCTAATCCCGCCCTAATGCCATGCCGTTGCAACTAAAACTAAACCAGGGGTGCCACCCTTGAGAGTAAGAGAGAGAGGAAACAATAAAGAACAATACTTGAGACTGTAGAGGAGGAGAATGAGGTATTATTCTTCAAGGTCATTTAGATATTTCCAATAAAGTACCAAACTAAACTAAGAATAGCAAAGTGGCAGAAGAAGAAAAGAAAAAAGGCAGCACTTGTCGGGAGGGGGCCGATCGCAGCTCAACGGCTTTTGGTGTCGTGCTGCTGGTCCCGAAAGCCAAGAAACTGACTCCACCGACCATCACGAGGGGTTAGAGGGAAACCGGTGATGATTATGTGGGATGTATATTATATTATTGGAGAAAGTTTTTTGATTCTCTACTACTACATCCTGTGGCATGAATAATGTAGATATCATAATCATTCATAACTACATTCCTAACTACCTAACTATCAGCCACCTCGACACGTTCCTCTTCTCCATCGCCACTCGATCTTGAAGGCTTGAACCTATAATACTCACAGAGACAAGGATCCCATCACAAAGCTCTAACCAGTCTATCCCCAATAAAAATTAGTTATACATTAGCAGGAAAGAGGGGTTATTCTCTACCAAGTACCTACTTAGCTACTAGCTACAGTACATACAGTAGTACCTAGTCAGCTAGTACTTCCATCTTTCATGCAGGTATCTAATCCAATCTCAGTGGATTGGGCCCGGGACCTGGGTATGTCCGTGTTCGCCTCTGTCCCACCCTAGGCTGAAGGTGTGGACTTTTGGCTTTTGCGTTGCCTCTTTCGAGCGCATCGCTTCCGAACAGTTTGCAGCCTCACATCCCCGTGCAACCACTCGGGGATTTTTCTTGTTGCTTAGGGCTTGCGCTTGCGCCTTGGTCCCTTGCCCCCTCCACCCCTCCAGGCCTGCACCCCCGTCTACCCTGGTCTGAGTGCTGCACCAGTCTGCCTTGGCTGGTTTAGTTGGCTGTTTAAGAAAGTACTGTGCATGATTATGATAGGTAATATAGGTAGCGTAGCTCTTGAGCTGGGAGGTTTAGTAGTACATCATTTGAGGTTCTTCAATTTCTTGACTATTACTGTAAATTCTGGCAATTCTTCCCTTTTTTTCAATTTCTTTTCATTTCGCCTCCATAGTGGATCCATTTCCCCTTGGGTCCCGGGAACCCGACTGACTGACACTGACTTGGCCATGTGTTCAGTTCCATAGATACTTCTTTAGGAACTTTCCACTCTTCTCTATTCATCTCTACTGTACTTATCAATTAGAATTCTACACTATCCAGCAATAATAACGATTTAAATCCCAAGTTACTATAACTAACAATCATTCTTCTCCTCCAACTACCTTATTAACCGTTCCACCACTCCCAGTCCGAATCACAATCTCGCCCTACCCATCTTCTCTGGAACGGCAGCCTTCCAGAAGCTAGCCTGCGTCGCGGTTCAACACGGGATAAGCTTGACGCTGTAATACCCTCTCCGTGATGCGGTCCATCGTTCGCAGTTGTTCCTCGGTCGGCCTTGCAATGTCAATTTCGCATTGCTTAAGAAGGAAAGAGAGAAGAATAGACAAGAAGGCGAGAAGGAGAAAGATAGAGAACGGGCCCAGACCGGAGTGAAATTGGACCCATTGATCTGTTGGGTCTAGAATCTCCCAGGTTTATATGGAGAAGGCCAGGACTCCATACAAGGAGATTGAATATGATTCACCAGTTTTTTTCTGCTCTGCAGGCTGTCACCGGTTCAGGTCCAGGTCCAGGTTCCACTATGGGTATGGTGTCGTGGTTTATTCCATCATCATTCCAGACTTCGACCTTGACTGGTACAGTACTGACTGTACTCAGTGTTGGGTTCCCGGTCGCGCACAAGACCAATGAATAGGGCAAGCCCCGACTTGCTTAACTGACCATTACTCTCCTGAAATTGATACATCCCATTATAAACACAATTCTTCACGCCCTCGGTAAGCTCGAGCCACGAAGGGAAATGAAAGCTACACTAGCTACACTAACTCAAACTTCAAGGTCAATGTCTTGTGCAGGGTTCGTCCACCCGCGACCGAGGCTAAACTTAAGCAGCTAGCTAAGGTCTCAGGTTTCCTCCCCCTAGACCCAACAGCCTAACAGGCGTCTAAATGATCCATGTTCCATGATCCATGATCCATCAATCACATTAATCTCCCCTTGCCCCGTCGTTCCCTCTCTTTAAAGCGCGGTTCGGTAGCATTTCCTCCTTCTGTCAAATTTTAATGCCTGTCATATTTTTTTTTTCTTTCTTCATTTAAAGAGTGGAGAATGATTATCTTGTTTTTCCTGGTACTGGGAATAGAAGGCTTTCGTGTTCGCGCCTCTTTTCAAGCCATGTGGAAATCATAATTAATCACATAATTTAACCTAACACTACTAAGCACTCCGTAGTATTGGAGGAACTGAGAACTAAGGAAATTGGAGGTGTTTGGCGGACTCGCGCGACCGGGTAAAAAGAAGAAACTCGTTCCCACCAGATTAAGGGACCGGTGGGGCTGAAGGAGGAATTTGGTTTGGAACCTCGGAGATTTAATGTCTTGCTTCTTGCTTTTTTTTTCTAATTACAATGGGATTGAAGGGGAGAGGAGATGGGTTAGGTATGGATGTGGTTCACTACTACTTCGGGTATAGCAGAAAGGGGAATGTCTTAGGAGAAGATGAGAGAAATGTCTATGACCCGTGGTTATAGTTTGGTGAGTATGTACATATTTTACTCCCATAACCTATAGTTACTCAGTTTGTTG